GGCCTGAGATATATTTTCTTACAACCCCACCCTCCCCCTCTTAGAAATAGGTTCTTTAAGGGGTTAAACTAGTCGATCTTTTAATACATAAATTTTAATTGGTTAGTTGAGATGTGTTAATGATCTAAAACACATAAAGATTAAACACTAATTCATTATTTTTGTATCTGATTTCATGTTGTGTTAATAAGTCATGTCACGAATTACCAGGTTTAAGTCAAGTACTCATTTGAAGAAGTAAAGAAATATGAACCTTTAAATTAAAAGATTTTTGGTTGGTACATAAAAAATTTATGATTGTAACTACATTTAATTTTAACTGTAAAAATTGATAGGTACATAAAAAATAAGGATATTTTAAATACGTAGTCTACGATGATATGACATGGTGCGTGAGGTGGTAAAGTTGTACAAGTAACAAGATACATGAATTGTCTGTCTACATACGATGATACGATGAGATTTGTAATAATCCTTTTTTTTTTTTTTGGAAAAAGATTTGTAATTCTAGATAGCTTAGCTAGTACAGTAGTTCCACTACATTATATATATTGAAAGGGTTGTTTGAAATGTGTGTCGCTGGAGTACAAAACTTATTACATATGTAGTGCACGTGTGGTTAGGTTTGGTCAAAGATGATTCATTGAGCTGTGTGAAGGAACATGCATGGGTAACTGCGATTAGATTAGACATAAAAGACATCATGCGAAAACAACCTACTACGTACTACTACGTACTGCTGCTAGCCTATCTAGGCTGTAGCCTACTAGGCAGTGTCACGAGTGGTCGAAGCATTTGCTGTTCTTAGCTACACTTTCATCCCCATCTCACTCGTGGGCATCTGTCATTTCTCACCTTGTCTAGCCTGCTGGATCCAATACTATTCGAGCATCCTCGATAGTAGTGATTTGTTGTGGTTTTTGAGGTGCAAATTAAGAGAAAGAGAAAGTTAGAAAAGAGAAGAAGAAAAAAACGAAAAAAAATAATAATTAAAAAGTAGGTCTGATGCCAGAAGAAGAAAAAAAAAAAAAAAACTAGAGCAGCGGGTGCGTGGCTGGACACGGTCTGTGCAGATCATGCAAGCAATACCATTCTGGCCGAAATAGAGCAACGGGTGCGCCTCTCCTTTCCCTTTTCTCTTTCCTGGCAGGCCCCACAAAATACCATTCTGGCCTGAAGATCCTAACTCTTCTCTCTTCTCCCTCTCTCCTCCCCACATAAGTCATGTTCTCCTCAAAAATTGGGAAAAAAATCACAGACAAAGATGCTCTTAATGAGTGTAGAAAAGTGGTAAATTTACAAGGGTTAAAAAGGTAGTAACTCTATAGTAAAATTTTAACAATTTTTGTTTTTTTTTTTAATGTTTAATAGTTGATACGAAGTAAATCACACCTGAGGAGTAGATGACATCAAGAAAATATGGACAAAAATTGAACTCATGATCTTTTGATACGATAATCATGTTCTACTCACTTTGTTATCTCTTTCGATACAATTTTTAAATGTTTGAACATTTAATATACAGAAGTAGTTTTTTTTTATTAGTTTTAAGGAAAATAATTTTTTTTGTAGAACCCTAGCCTTATTTGGGTGTGGTGCTTGATCCACACTCAAGAGGTTATTTGGGTGTGTTATCATTACCTAAGAAGAAAGAACAAGGGACCCAATATCACAAGGCCAACACTTCAAGAAATTATTTTAACTCATTCCATAAGGAGTCTAGAGTTATCAAACTTGGAGATCAAGATGGAATCTTATATATAATGCACGAAAATTCTTAAGGGTAACTACTCTCATCGTTCGATAATATTTTTTCCTAATAAATTATATACTTGTATGTTTTCTTTGCATTTCATATCATGAGTTTCTTGTATTATATTTTATTCAGACTACCATCTTTGAGCGGGGCACTGGTAGATATATAATATTAGATATACATATATTATTTTAAAAAAACTTTTAAATTTCATTTCAAATTATTTGACATTAGTGTTTCTGTATTCTACTCATGTATTAAATTTAAAATTTGATTATAAAAATTTATGTTAACTCCATATATGGTATAGAACCATTTCTTTTACTATATATCCTAGACCTATAAAATAATAGGACTGCCCATGATTTTATTGTAACCCGTTTTCATGCTACCTAGATGGTACATCCAAAGGCTATGTGTGTGCTAGCTTATGTATTCACATGGTTACCAAGAAAAAGTGTTGTAGTGATGGAGTTGAGATTGTGTAGTTAGGTGAATTGAGCCACATGCATGATATAAAAATTAGGGTTGAAAATGAAAAGGGAGCTAGCTAGGGTTTACTTTTGATTAGCTCCAATGGGGTTGTGTGCATGTGCATATTGTTCATAAATTAGGGACCTTTTCTTCCCCCAGAAACTTTTGTTGATCCATAAATCAATACCTTAATCATTAAAGATCAAACATCACCTTGTTAGAAAAATGAATAATTGTAGTACTTGCATCTCTAGGTACTTCATTGTCTTTTCCTTTTTTATCAATCAATATCATCATCCATACATGACCCCCTACCCCCTACCCCTAGGCCCTACCCCCATTCCCACCTCAAGCATTTTTTTATTTTTATTTTTTTAAGTAAGAGGCCCCGAAGAAAGGGGCGGTGGCAAGTGCGTAGAGCATGATTCTTATACCAAAATGTCACGATCGAGTTGATTTTTGCAAACATCGTTTTGGTCAAACCTATCGCATATGGCCTTCCTAATGCACGGTACCACTCTTGTATGGTTTGCGAACTATTACAAGGGAGTGGAGTTTATTCAGTGCACACTGATTTACAATGATGGCTAGTTTCTCTTGTCACCCAAAAAAAAATATTGAGGAAGAGCTCAATTTAATGAATACCTCATGATATATTTGCATTGTAAATTGGTTAACCCCAAAAGAAAAGAATCAAATTATTAACACGTAAATAGAATATTAAGGAAATGAAATTAGGAGATGAATGTTGGCATGTTGCATTACTCTAGTTCAATTTCTATTTGCAATATTAATATTTTGTTTACCAATATTTATGATTAGTTCCTATGAGAAGCTAATTGCGCTGTAGATTAGAGGTCTATGCATTATGATCACTCTCATCATGGTCTTAATATTTTTGAGAATCCTCCTAGAGGGCTTAGGCTCGATTCTTTATACTAATATTATGGGCATTTCTTTGCCCACATTCTTGTAGGGCTTTTTTTTTTTTTTTTTTTTTTTTTTTTGCCATATCCTTTGTATTAAAAAAAAAAAATCAAGATCTCATTGTATTTTATTTAAAATGTAATAACGACACCTAGTAATTAAGAAAGTTCACAAAGTGTCATTAGCATAGTTCATTTCCATAGTGTTAGGATAATTAAAAGGTTAGGATCTGATTCTTGTTCAAACATTAATTTTAAACATGAATTCAAACCTCAATTACACAAAATATATTTAAATAAATTTGGAGTGTGGTGGATGTGGGTTTATACGGGTTGGTCTGTGGATGGGAGAAACCTCCATCCCCGCCTGTCTAAAAAAGGAGCTAAAGGGGCCTAACTCGCTGGCCCATTTTGACAACTCTAACATGACTACATACAAGTGCACTTCCTAACCCTAGAATGAACGGTCTAAATGTGCACTTCTCAACCCCATAATGGTCTACATATGCACTTCCTTCTATACGCGACCTAGTGTATTTCCCAACCTGAAGAGTTTGTATATTTACTTATCGACCTCCTTATTAGTAGACTTGTCAACCTTAATATCAATGTACTTTCCAACCATCATTACTAGATAGGTCAACTGCATTGTCACCTCATCAACTTATGTGTGTCGTGATTGACACGAGTGGCCAATCGAAGAACGTACGCCAGTTATGTAAGTATTGTCTCATTGCCACTTAGTATAAATAGAGAACTCTCCATAATGGAGTGGGGGGGGGGGGGGGGGGGGGGGGGAGCCTCCCAACTTGGTGTGGTCAGACCCCTAGTGGGTTTCCTGGCCTCATTACTCTCCCTCAGTTAGCTTATGATCTCATTATTGCCCTTGTATTTAAGTTGTATTTTACTAGTACTGAGTAGATAAGTCGGAATGTGTACTATTCAACAAGACAATAGTTATGCTGTGCAACTGTGTGCACCATGCGATTGCAAAACGACGTCGTTTTGACTAAAAACGCGCGTCCCATTTAAAAAAAAAAATTCAGTTTCGATTCCCCTCAACAACATTATTGTGGATATATAGTTATGAATTTGTGGATATATAGTTATGAATTTATGGATATTTAGTTCATTCATTATTGTGGATATTTAGTTCCTTCATTGTGGATGTTTACTTCATTCATTGTGGATATTTAGTTCATTCATTGTGGATATTTAGTTCATCCATTCTGGATTTTGTGTTATTCATTCACTGTGGATATATAGTTATGAATTTGTGGATATATAGTTATGAACTTGTGGATATATAGTTATGAATTTGTGAATATATAATTCAAATTATGTAAAAAAAAAAAAAAATGCTATTGCCGGAAATCGAACCTGATTTTTTTTTTAAAGTGGAACGCGCGTGTTTAGTCAAAACGACGTCGTTTTTGCAACCATGTGCCACACGGTTACACAACATAATTTGCGTCAACAAAAATAGTGGATTTTGGCATAGCCCAATTTAGAAAGACTTGTGATTTTTTTTTTTTTTTTTTGGGTTTTCATGTAAAATGTCTTATCTCGTCATTCTTTATACTACCATTTAGTTTCACCATGTAGGCTAATCGGAGTCAATTTACGCTATCAATAAATTTATAAGCTTTAATTTGCTAGCAGCTACGTGATGCAATACTCGAATTTGGTGTTATTGTGAACACTAGTGTACAAGCATCTGGAATCCTTGATTAGTTGATTCTGATTAGTTGAGAGAGATACTACATTTTACCTTATCCACTAGTCTCTAAGAATCTTTAAGTTTGTGATTGAAGTTTGAATCTACAATATTTCTTAAAGAAACTAATTAAATTCCTTTTCACATTGTAGAAGTCATTATAACAACCACAATATAAATTTCATATAATTTAAGTTCAATTTTTTTTAGTTTTTTTAGTTTTTTTTTTTTTTTTTTTTTTTTTTTTTTTTTTTTTTTTTTTTTTTTTTTACAAAAACCATAACATGACGTTTGGTTGGAAGGACAAAATTAAGTGGACAAAGAATTGCAATTCCGTGAAGAAAAAAAAGGTGTAAATTTAAATTATATTGTTTGGTAGCTAGGCAGGAATAGAATGACTAGAAATTGAAAAGAAAAAATTAAATAAAGACTAATGTACTCTTAAATAATAATAATAATAATAATAATAATAATAATAATAATAATAATAATAATAATAATAATAATAATAATAATAATGCTGTCAAGCACCTTGTGCTCAGATGACATATAGTGATTTTTCTCATGTGTGAGATCATGAGATCGAGCCTTGTTGACTCTTTGTGCAAGAATTGTAATTCTACAAAATTACAATTTTCTCTAACTAAAATCATGGAATATAAATTCCATGGGGAAACACCCCTAAATAATAACATCAAATCAAATAAACAAAAGAGGGCAAGGTGAACAAATGACTTGACCAACGAATTTTTTTAAATATTAAACAAGGACTAGGGGTTATGATTTCCCAAGCATTTTTTTTAAACATTATTTATGAGAATCAATTGATCTTGTGTCAATAATTTCTATGATGTTATCACATTGTTGAACCGCCATATTTGAATGTGTGAAGTGATGATTGGTTTGCATGAATAGTGTAAAACTCTATGATAATTAAGTATTTTTCTTGATTATTTAAGTCAATTAAGCCATTTTTTTCTACATGAGAAGAAAAAAATGTTTAGATGGTCAAAAAGGCTATTTGATAGTGGAAACAATAGGGCCTAAGTTTTTTTGTTGTAATAGATAATTCACATCGATATACAGTTCAAACTTATTAACAAATTCATAATATAGTTCTTTTATATGCAATGAATAATCCTTGAGGCAGAGTTTAACTTATAGGTTAACTAATTCAAAATGGAGTTCTTTTGTATGCAATAAAGAGCTTTGGGACACTGTTCAAACAGTTGACAAGGTGCTCAGAGAGTTGGTGTTGGCAATAATCTTTTGTATATTATGACCAGGTTGAAACTAGAGCCGTCAAAATGGGTTTTGCTTGCTATCCCGTTTCGTTCCGTCCTCTACTTAGGTAGGGGGTGGGTTTCGAAAATATAAGTTTCTTAAAGAGCATTTTTTTTTTTGTCCGCCCCACCCCACCAGTCCGTATTGACAGCTCTAGTTGAAACACAGCTCAAACTAATTGATCATTCCAATATAGAAATAATAACTATGTTTTGCCGACAATCGTAATATGTAAGGAAAAGTATGAAATCAACTCGACCTAAAGGTATCCGAAAAAGTATGGAATCAACCAGAGGGATCTAGATAGTATCAAATATAGTCTAGCTAGCATGTACTCTGCAAAATTGAGCATAACATGTTGTACTCACACACAAAGTTAAGATCATATCACACCCAGTTCCTATTTACTACATGTACTCCCAAATCTTACTCTTTCAATTTTACTCTTTGATATGGCGTGCTTTAATAAGTTAATTTTTTTATGTGGATCTCAATACAAACGTTTACATCAAAATTTTGTGTGTAGAAGTAAAAAAATTCAAGAGTATAAAATGGGAGTAAACATGCATTTTTGTATTGCACCTATGCATAGTCTGTCCATTCCGGTCCTGGTGCCCACATGGACACCCTCCCCCCCACTGGCTCCACCACGCCATGGACCTTAGCAAAACCAGCAATCCTGAGACGTTTGACTCTCTCTCTCTATATATATCTATATAAACAAACAACAGCCAACCCCAAAGCATTTCCATTTCTCTGCAGTGAGGTGAAAAGCCTTGAAAAGCGAAAACACCATACAATAATATAATGGCGTTCTTCATGGCTATTGCTCTGCTGATTCTTGGCCTCTGCATCCTCAACACAGCTTTGCTGAAATGGAACGATGTGAAGTACAGGATGATGAAAAGCTTGCCTCCTGGAACCATGGGTTGGCCTGTTTTTGGAGAAACCACAGAGTTCTTGAAACAGGGCCCCAACTTCATGAAAAACCAGAGAGCAAGGTGACTGTCTAACTGGTTGTCTGGTTTGGTCATTTTTTGTTTGTTGGGTATTCTTGAAATTCCTGAAAGATTTAATCTTTATTGTTCTTTTAACGTTGTTGTTTCAGATATGGGTGTTTTTTCAAATCCCACATCCTGGGTTGTCCCACCATTGTTTCAATGGATCCAGAGATGAACAGATATATTCTGGGAAACGAAGCCAAAGGGCTTGTCCCTGGCTACCCACAATCCATGCTTGACATTTTGGGGAAATGCAATATCGCAGCTGTTCATGGCTCTGCTCATAAGTACATGAGAGGGGCACTCTTATCTCTCATCAGCCCTACCATGATCAGAGATCAGCTCTTGCCTAAAATTGATGAGTTCATGAGATCCTACGTCAGCACCTGGGATGGACATGTCATTGACATCCAACAAAACACCAATAAGGTTTCTACACATCATCATCATTGTTATTCATTCTTGTACTCCAAACAACAAACCTTAAACCCCCCATCCTATCCTGTTTCTTCTCTGTTCTAATCCATTTCTGCTGCAGATGGCTTTTCTGTCAGCTCTGAAGCAAATTGCTGGGATTGAATCCACCTCCATAGCTCAAGAATTCATGCCTGAGTTCTTTAACCTTGTTCTGGGGACCCTTTCCCTCCCTATAAACCTTCCCAACACAAACTATCGCCGTGGGTTTCAGGTAAAAACTGTCAAATGTTTGACAAATCAAGAATTCTCTATGTCTCGGACAACTCCAGCCAAGTTTGTCAAACCACTCTAAGTGGAAGTGTCATTGGCATTCTTGGTCCCCATGACTATAATGACACTATCAGGATTTATCCATAACTTTCAAACCGTGTAATCTCGGTCCACGACTATTGTATTTTTTGCAAAAATGGTCCTTTCATCCCGCTATTGACGGAAATTGTTTTTACTCCAATGAGAAATTGACAGAAAATGGGCCAAAAGGACTATTTTTGCAAATAAAAAATAAAAAAAAAATTAATAGTACTAGACCGAGATTGCAAGATTTGAAAGTCATGAATCAATCCTGATAATACCACTATAGTCCTGAGACCAAAAGTGCGAAAAACTCAACCAGTGAGCTATGAACAACTTAGGGGTGTTTAACCTTTGTGGTATTTTGCTGGCTCAAGTTACAAAACGATGTTTACTGGGTGCACACCATCAAACGATGGTTGTGGGTTTCTCTCGTCACCCAAAAATAAGAATTATCTGTGTCTGTTTGTCTGCCCAGATATTAATCACCACTGTTGTGTGTGACAGGCAAGGAAGAACATTGTGTGCTTACTGAAAAAACTCATAGAAGAGAGGAGAGCTTCAGGGGAAAAACAACAAGACATGCTGGGATTCTTGATGAATGAAGATGAAAACCGATATAAACTAACGGATGATGAAATGGTTGATCTCATCATAACAATCTTGTACTCTGGGTACGAGACTGTTTCCACCACTTGTATGATGGCTGTAAAGTACCTCCATGATCATCCTAGAGCTCTAGAAGAGCTAAGGGTAGGCCTAAAAACGCAGTCTTTTAGCAGATGATTACATAAATTTGATCAATTTTAGTTTGTCTGATTCAATGCAAAATTCTGCAGAAAGAGCATATGGAGATCAGAGCAAAGAAGGGTCAGAATGATCCCATCAACTACAATGACTACAAATCCATGCGATTCACACGTGCTGTAAGTATAAACATGAATCAAATGGACAACCTAGTCAAGTTGGTCAGACCGCTAACTTAGTAACCCCAAGATTACAAGTTTCGACTTTTTTGTCCTTTTATCCGCCTCTGCCCAATAATTCTCCCTATGTTCTGACTTTCTTGGCCCTACAATTCCCCTTAAGTTCAGACTTTCTAGGCCCTTTATCAGCCTCCGCCAGGTAAATCCCTTCTAAGGGACTTATACACCTCGGGAAACTGGTCGAGATAGATGACAGCACCTTTTTCCCATATTCCTTACTGGGAGGAAAGCTTTGACTCGAAACGCTCTGATACACTTATTAAATCAAGCCCTTAAGAATGTGCAACTTTATTTCTTTATAGACTGTCATCACATTTTTTAGAGACAGTATATTGGATTTGACCTATTAAAGTCATCCCCCAAAAATCTCCCTAGCCACCAATTGATTAATTGACCTCCACCCACCACTTTGCCTCTTTGTGATCTTTTGCTGGTCAGATCACAAAACAGGTTTATACAGTACTCACTTTCAGATAGTGATTGAGGTTTCCTTCAGTCACTTATATATATATAAACCATGAATTAAACACAAATTTAATGTAGGAAAAGAACATCCTAGTAATTCAGGTGTTTGCAGGTGATCTTTGAGACATCTCGGCTGGCAACAATAGTGAATGGGGTGCTGAGGAAGACAACTCGGGATATGGAACTCAATGGTGCGTATGATTTCTGCACATTACAGACTGCAATCTTTTAAGTTATTTATTGGAGGGAGGGCCATGGTTTCTGACTTTATGGTGACAAATTTCTTTGTAGTGAATATAAATATGGGGCATAGGATATATAGTATATGATATGATGTGATTATGATGATGATGATGATAATGGGGATGCAGTTTAGAATGTAGAGATGATCCCCCACAATGAACCATCTGCTGTCAATTATCCACATGGCATACCTACCATTCCAGCCTAGATGTCACATTCATCACCTATCTCTTGCCAAAATCAAATTATTCTATCTGTAGTTTGGGAAAAGAGATGGGAAAGCTCAACTCACTCTCCCCCCTTGTCCCCTTGTGTCTTTCTGTCCAAAAGTTGAGACCCCCCACCCCCCTCAAGTGTGTGAGGGTCATAATAAAACCACATATTCGATATAGTTAAATTAATTGACCAATCAAAAAATTAATAGCTCTATTTTATTGGCAGTTGTAAAATGCAGAGTTTGGGAAACATTTTGGAAACCCTAGACGGACTCTAGGGTAAGAGTAAACACTTTGGGAACCTAGGAACTTGGAAATCGACCTACGATAGGCATTTTATCGTAGGTACTCATGTACGAGCACTTTGTGAACTTGTAGTCAGACTCTGGAACAATGACCTTGTTTTGGAGACTGGTGTACAAGTACTTCGAGAACCTATAGACTGGCCTACGTTAGGGGTCTTATTGTGGGCACTCAATTATAGGCTCTTTGAAAACTTATAAACTAACTTTGGGGCAGGGGACTTGTTATGGACACCGATGTACAAGCACTTTGAGAACTTGTAAACCGACTTTAGAAAAAGGGCAGTGGGACCTTTGGGGTTGGTTTGATGATAAAACCACACCCAACCTAATAATAGTTATGTGTGCAAGAAAGGAAAAACACAAAAAAGTGGGACAAAACCAAACAATTGTGTATAGCTCCCACATGAGCCATCCTGCTTTTCCTAAAGCATTTTATATTGTTTTTGTTGCAGGTTATATTATACCAAAAGGATGGAGAATATATGTGTATACAAGAGAGGTTAATTATGATCCAAGACTCTACCCTGATCCATATTCTTTCAATCCATGGAGATGGCTGGTTAGTACTGTTGTCTGGAAAGCTCAGAGTTTGATCAAACCAATAAAAATAATTATGCATCAAACTAATTACAGTTTTGTGGTGGTAAATGCAGGATAAAGGCTTAGAGAACCAAAATAACTTTCTGGTTTTTGGAGGAGGCACTAGGCAGTGTCCTGGAAAGGAACTTGGAATTGCAGAAATCTCAACATTCCTTCACTATTTTGTAACTAGATACAGGTTGCCCAACAAACAAATTTTCGTTAGAATTAATGACCATTTTGATCCATTGACTATGCTGCCTTGACTATTAATTTTGACCAATTAATTTCTCAATTATTAATTTCGTAACTGATTTGGTCCTCCGTAATTACCAAATTGGTCCTCAACCAGTTTGACGGAGGATCAAATCAGTTATGAAATCAATAATTGAGGATTTAATTGGTCAAAATTAATAGTTGATGGATTTGATAATTACGGCATAGTTGAGGGACGAGAACGGTCATTAATTCTTTTCGTTATTATAAATGGTTTTATTTATAATTGGTTTTATTTATAATTATTGGTTGTGGAATGCAGATGGGAAGAAGTGGGGGGAGAGAAGCTGATAAAGTTTCCAAGAGTTGAAGCACCAAATGGGCTACACATCAGAGTTTCATCCTACTATTAACCATCACTCAATAAATGTACAGCACAAAATTGGCATTTTTTTTTTAAAAAAAAAAAATGGAAGAGCCAACATAGATTTTCCAGCTAACACAACTACAAATTTGTAACCCATTTTTGCAGGAAATCCATTCTGTTATTCTACCAAATTTCCCATTTCAAATTTCTATTGTGTCAAAATAATCCTCATTAGCAAAAACTCGATCACCAATTTCATAAAGTAGTGCCGTTGTCAAAAATTAAATCAAGTCCCCCACATGACAAACGGCAAGTGTGATGATTTGTAACTTACTAGGAGAGGAAGAAACATGATTTTACAGCAACTCACCAACTGTAACCTACTAAAACAAACAAATTTTAACCTTCCTCCTGGATTCAAAAATTTCGACAAGTAGAGGTTTCTGATCTTTGCATATTTCATAGTAATGGGAGTGGGATGGTTCCCCCTCCATGAGGAAACACACAAGATTAAAAACATTCATCAAAATTAAAGCCAATTTGGCAAAGCTACGAGGATGTTTAGGTGGCGGCAGGTTCCTTGTTTATGAATCTGGGGTGGCGGCATCTTCTGTCTTCTTACGCTTGCTTGCAGATTCTTCACCGTCTTCGTGGTTGCTAAATCCATTCACTGCCTCTTGACCCAAAATCGACACGTGTTTGCTGGTTATCTGGCGTCCTGCCCTAAGTTTTGGACCCCAGTGCCGTTCAGGATTGGGAAGGAAACGCGCAACCTTCTTGGCCTGTACCTTGTTCACTGATGCCGCCGCTGCTCGTGCAAAATTCGCCTGGAAAGAAGAAACAAAATCGATGATATCAAGATCAAGAAAGCTCAAATTTTTAGCACGAAACTGAATAACTTCATTGGATAGAACAGAGATACAGATAGATGTGCGATCGTAACCAAATTTATAGCGAGGAGTCAAAAAGCACCTGCAGAACAGGTTCCTTAGCCAGAATTATGCTTCCAGATTGATCAGGTGGTTGAGCTTTCACAGGATGATTTTTTACCTAGATAGAAAATTTCCCCGAAAAGGTTGATATTACATTTTTTAATGTCTTTCCTCGTTGTAAAGCAGGCAAGAGCGTTATTTTACACATACCCAGCATCGCATGATATCCCAAATAACCTCCATTGGTGCATCTGTTTTCAGCCCCAGAGGATTCGCGTGAGTTCCTGATACACGATATCCCGCATTGATAACAGCAGATCGGAATATAATTGCCGATGGAGGGGTGCATTTGAGTGTTGAACAGAGGCTGTGCAAACTCAGAAACAGAGGAACATCGGGTAATTCCTGCAAAGATGCACATTCTGATAATAAGAAACCGATACACAGACAAAACAACCAAGGACCCATAGGGGGAACCTTAATGAAACTGAAACTCAAGTTCATTAGATGTTAATGAGCTGGGAAAATAGAAAGTTTAGGTTTGTAGTCCCCGACTCTCGCTGTACATTTTTCGTCATCAACAAACACACATTTCTTTGAAAATGACGGAGAAGCTTACCTCTGAAATTGTTGTCAGCACAGCACAGATTTTGTCGTAAGCAGGATAGCGCTCCTTCATTGATTTTACGTCAGCAAGAATATCGGCTACCCACTCATGATCATGAATAGGAGCAGACCATATCGGTCCACCCATGTTGAATTTCTTACCACAATCACTGCACTCTTGTGCAACGGCAGGACCAAACCCAGGAAGATATCTCACACTGTTGCCCTGGGAAGAGTTGCCAGACAATAACATGACGTTCGGTTCAAAGAATAAAAATAAAGGGAATAGAATAGAATTCCAGCAGGAATACTATTATACTGTTTGGTTCATAAAAGGAATAAACATGTGATTATATGAGGAATCATAATCTTGTGTTTGGTTATGAAATATACCTATTAAATATATATATATATATATATATATATATATATATATATATAGAAGAGGTCCCTCGTCTTTGGTGGCGATTCCAAATTTACTCCCAGACTATTGTTTTTGCCATTTAACATCCCATACTATTATTTTTTGTACACTTTTAGTCCTTCTCATGACTTTTCCTATTTTTAGGAAGGGCATTTTTGTCTCTTCATATTTTTCTTAGTTCACCCGGTTGAAAAATATAGTTACTAAAAATCAGAGGTTACCTAAAGTTCTTAACCAATTAAACCGGTTGAAATCATAAAAATATGAAAAGACAAAAATGCCCTTACTAAAAATAGGAAAAGTCATGAGAATGACTAAAAGTGTCCAAAAAATAGTCTATAATGTTAAATGGCAAAAAACGATAGTCGACTAAATTTGGAATTGACATCAAAGACAAGGGACCTCAGGTGGAATTAACTCTATATATATATATATATGTATATATATATATATATATATATATACACACACACACACTGTAGACGAACTGGATTTCTCATTCGTGCATAGAATGTGTATAGAATGTGAAATTGAAAAAAAAAAAAAAAACATAACTTAAAGATGGTGGAAGCAGAGAAATTAAATGTTCATGTCAGCTTTTTTTAGCCAAAATTAAAGACATACCTTTGACACAGTCCTCCCAATTGGCTGAAGATGAAATGAATCACAACCAATACATTGATACGCGTACGAAAGATTTAAAGGAGTGTTCTTCATCGCACTAGCAGAACTGCAACAATTATTCGAAAGCGCAGACCTCAAGAACTGATTGAAACAATGAAGATATAATAACTGATGACCTAAATGATAGTTTGATAGGGGCATCCTTCGATGAGAGAGAGGAAGAGATACTTACGTAAATATGCGGACAAAGACACGTATATAAAAATCCATCTGAACTGACAATATGGGAACAATGTATCTTTTATATCGATTTGCATGGCTCTGAAATAAAAAACTTAAAGATGAGAATGTACAACAACGAAACTGAACTCAGTTTTTAACTAAATTAAAAGAGGGGAGGGGGGAGTACTTAACATAAAATTAAGCTAGCAAATGACAGTTTCTTCCTGTCTCCCATAGTAACTTAACCACTCTAAATGAACTAATCAAAGTAAACTTTCAATCCAACCAGCTTGGTTGGCGTGAGTGGCCGTGCACTCTCGTCCCTTAAGAGAGGTCGGGAATTCGAACCCCCTCTCATGGAAAAAACCAATCTGGCCAGCACTCTGCCCCTTAATTGGGCCGGGCCGGTGCGAACAATGATTGGTCTGAGTATGGTACGGGCTTAAAGGTGCATTCTACAATTAGGGTCTGCTCAGGACACCTCGTGGTCTGACCAAAAAAAGTAAAACTTTCAATCCATAATTCCATAGAGCAATGTAATACATAAGCATTTTCTCCAATTAAAACAGATAAATACCTCAATACAGGAAAGAAGCATCCTCAACGCCATTTCATGACAATATTTTCCTTTCAACGGATAGGAGCCATATCTGATTGCAGAGGTGCAGCCAAGTAAGTCCACGTTTAACTATCAAAAGAAGAATTACAGTATAGAACTAAACGCTCATAAACCTTACTTGGAATAGCAAACCTCTCCATATCCTCCACAGAGCACTGGCATATCAGTTGCAGTACACATTAATACTCCTCCATCAGCAACAGATTGAACAGCAGAGTCCAGGAAAACAGAAGGCGAACCATATGGATCAAGATCGACCTGAGACAATAACCAAGCAAAAACATTAGCTTGTTTGGGAAGTCAGTATGAAGCACGTTTAGTGGATAATCAGATATGTTTGATTAATGAAACCTTGTCACTACAAAGAAATAGTATTCAGATCCCTCCTCAAAACCGAATATCAGAAAAAGGGTAAAGCATTCTCACTTATATAATCATACCACATCAAATTCTTTCGGGTGGGTGATCATATATACTCGAGCATCAGCAAGGTGAGATTCCACCTTTGTGACCGCTACAGAACCATTGAACTTTATATTTCTTTGGCAAGCTTCAACAGAGGCTGCAAAGAGGAAAATCATTTCATGTCACACCAAAAGGTGAAGCAGCAACATAGAATTTGAAGGCCTTTGTTAATCAAATTTGTGCATACATATATAAATGAATAAGCCTACAAATATATGGAAGCCTTATCCTCACTAATTCCACTATCAGCATGATAGCATCTAAGGTTTATCTATTTAAGTAATAGGGTCAACAGTACCACCTCGATCTTTTACATCAAACCCAGAGTGCTAGAAGGATCATTTACCTTTATCATTGTCCAAGGCCACAACTTGACCAACCTCTTCAACTTCACGTGCATATCTTAAAGCCCTCAAACCAGAAGCTGATAAAGCCTGTGTAGTATCAATGAATAATGAAATAGAACAGTGCTTTAAGTTTGCTCTTCCTATAGAAAAGATGAAACTACAAAAAGTAACACAAAACAACATAAGAAACCTCAAGAACTCGAGGTGGTTTCAATTCTCTGCCTTTTCCTCCTAGATTATTATTTAGTTCTTCTGAAATGCTACACGGTTCATCTTGAGATGTCTCTTCTGAGACTTCACACCCATCATTAGGTTTTCCATCATGTTGATCAGTATCAACTGGAGATTCTGTCTTAGCACCAGACTCATCTGTAACCTTTGAGGCTGCCTTTGTTCGTCTCGCCAGAAATGCTTCATGCTCTTGCTTCCGTTTTGATATAAATGTCCTCAGAACAGCAATAGACATATCTCTGTTATTAACCTGAGTTCAAGATTTGAATTGTGAAATTTATTTACTTCATAACCCATGATTCATGAAGATAAATATAAAGGCATATATTCCTGTCACCCTAGAAGAAGCACAAGACACAAATAACGAAACACGCCCATACATACAGTTCAAATAAGATTGTAAGGGCTACAGAATTCTGTAACTCCACATCCTGATTCCAGTTATAACCTGCTAAGAAGCACATGCTCCCTTCCACCAGTAAAAGATTGCACATTTGCCCAAAGCCAAGAAAATAAGCTGGGCTAGTAAATAATCAAAGAATGCCAAAAAAAAAAAATTGTGGTCAGATCATGAGGTGTCCTGATGAGTCCCTAACTGTAGGAGGCAGCTTTAAGCTTGTATACTCAGACTAATCTTCATTCACACCGGGCCGGCCCAATTAAGGGGCAAAGTGCTGGTCAGATTAGTTTTTCTATACGAGATGGGGTTCGAACTCCGACCTCTCATAAGGGATGAGAGTGCACGGCCACTCACGCCAACCAAGCTGGTTAAGGAATGCCAAAATTTGACTGGCAAAGATTTATAACAATGGTGTCCCGTATTTTACGCCCATCAGCTGCACCACATAATCCCCCTATAGGGGTAAGCATTAACTACCCTATAAATCCATTCCAGCTCAAGAAGATGAAAATCAACCAAAACCTTAACAAGCCAAGTCTAAGGGGAAGGGGTTGTCTAAACTTTCTATGTCTAACTTTCAAGTTTCAATTAACAAAAAAATAATAATATATAACATTCTCAACAACCCAATTCTCATTTTTCAAAATTTACTTTTACACATGCTTGGTGAATGTTTCACAGCTATGCTGGATTTAACTTTTGACCAGAGTAGCACATCATGCCAAGCACTTGAACTAATAACACAATCACATAAACAGTCATTAGAAGGAAAATGGAATAACGTTATATTTACTTAGGGGGTGAAAAGAAACCTGTGCTTTGTTGTAAAAGACTTCATTTTTGGCGTGCATGAGAATCTCAGCCTCCCCTTCTTTTATAATCTTAAAATCATCGACATTAAACGACGCTGTATTGTTTGCTTCCTGCTGCTTTTTCTCTTCGTCCACTGTTTCTTCATGGCCTCCTCCCATATCGCCTGTTTGATGGGCTTGTCTAGGTCCTGGGTTATTCGCGGCGGATGGCTATGGCTAAAGAAGCTTTTCTTGCTCTTAATGGTGTTTCCAGGCGGCGTTTGTTTTCAGGATTTCTGAAAATACAAAATGCATGAAGCTCGAAGGGCTTTCACAGGTACCCCCCAAAGTACAATAATGGAGCAAAAAAACGTTACCTGCATTGTTGTGTCTCCGTCCCACTGAAATTGAAGCATGTGGAATTCAGTGCAAAATCCGACCCGGGTAAATCTTTGCTCATTCAAACATGAGATTGATTATTAAACCCTAGCCACTTTTAGCAGTTGTAGGGATAACTCCACTTGGACCCATTACACTTTAGACAATTATGATTGAATCCTCTATAATTTCATTAATTATACTTTTATCATTCAATAGTTTTATCATTAAATTTTTGAGTTTTTTTACACTTTTGGTCCCACGACTATACTGGCACTATCAGAATTGATCCACGACTTTCAAATCTTGCAATTTTAGTTCACAATTATTGTTTTTTTGGCAAAAATGGTCCTGTAAACACAAAAATGTAAACTTTGTCTACATTCACAAAACCTGTTGTGTACAGCGTGTGTATAATTCAATGTGCAGGTACAAAATCTCTGTGTAGTCCTCTGATTCTTCACTAACGTTGTCTTCTGAAGTGCCTCCGGGATTCAAATAGCGTAGCCTCCGTGATTCAAATGGCGCGTGCCTCCGGGATTCAAACAGCGTAGCTTCCGGGATTCAAGTGGCGTGGCTTCCAACAACGAGCGTCAAGAATTTAGAAATAATCGACCATGCAATGGATTCAAATTGCCTGCAAAATCAACAAAAAATGCGTTCAAGTCTTCAAGCGTTCTTCAATGCCGTTATCTATTGAAGTGCCTCCAGGATTCAAATAGCGTAGCCTCCGGGATTCAAGTGGCGCGTGCCTCCGGAATTTAAACGGCGTAGCTTCCGGGATTCAAACGACGTGATCTCCAACAACAAACGTCAAGCTCCGAAGCAATCAACTAAAAAGGCTTCAAGATCTTTAAAACCTGCAAAAAATGCCTTCAATGCCTTTAATTCTTCAAGATCTTCAAATGCCTTCAAAAGATCTCTCAAATCTTCAAGCCTTCAAGTTGTCAAACGTTCTTCAATGCCTTCAAGCTCTCAAATCTTCAAGTTGTTCTCAATGTATTTAAGGTGTGATTGAAGAATGGAATTGAGGCCCTATTTATAGTGAAGTTTGTAACTAAAATCCCTCAACAAATTCCACTAATATTTATTTAATTAAATTAATTAATTATCTACTAAAATGAACCTTGCCAAAATCAAGTCTAGGTTCATTATTCTATCATCTAATTCAAATTCAAATTAAATTATAATTATCTAATTCAAATATAATAAAATCATATTATATTTAAATTATAATTATAATTATAATTATAATTCAATTATGAGATGGGCTTGGACCAATTAATTAATTAATTCAATAGCCCAAATCAAATTTACTTGGACTAATTAAATTAATTTAATTATCATAGCCCAATTAATTAAATTGGACTAATGATCAACCCTGAAATTGGGCTCGATAATGATTTAATCGGTCCACTTGTCGGCTTCAAATTTTCTGTGTCTACAAATTGCCCCCTCGAGACTTTCTTGGACATTCCACTTGAGAGCATACAGTGCTTGAAAGTATGTAGTGCATGGAAGTCTCGAAACTATAAGGTCATTTCAACTCGTGCCACGGAGCCTTATGGGATATGAGGCAATTTCGACTCGTGCCGGGAGTCTTGAAGTAATATGAGCGTTTTCAATTCACATAGAGGAAACTTGCAGAATATTTCCCCCGTCACATATTGTGGTATAATGTGTTGAGGCACATTCTTCTCTAGCATATGGGTTGATTTGAGGAATTTTCATCTTCATTCCTTGGTTAGTTGGAGTAATATGGAACCACTTCGGCACGTAATCCGCCAGTGTGATCGGAACTCGTGTTTTCATATGGTGGCCGCAAGCTCTCCCATCAATAGAGCCCTTTAACATTCTCTTCTTGACCCACCTTTTCATAACTTGCTTAGATGGTCGTGTCGCATCATCAACGTGGTGTTGTTTAGCATGCTTAATATCATGCCGAGTATCATACTCGGGTTTGGTATCATAAGACTTGATGTTAAGAGAGAATAGACACTTGTGTCATTTTCTATTTCCCTTCACATCGTTCCTCTCAATGAGTAGCGAAGTAGATTTACCGCATGAGATGGAAACTTGATTAGCACTTGATGTGGCATCTGCAAGTTCAATTCTCCCATCTCGAGCTAACTCCATTACTTTATCCTTAAAGACAAAGCAATTTTTAATTGGATGTCCGACAAGTCTGTGATACTTACAATAACTCGGATCATCCACCATTGATGCCTCGTGTGGTCACCTCATTTCTGGCAAATCAACGAGACTGTGTTTCAATAGCTCATCAAACATATGTGGAACATCAGAATCCAAGAATGGATACTACTTGTTTTGTCTTTCCCTGAAAGAAAGCCTTCTACTACCATGTAATGATCTAGAAGCATCCTTAGACTCACCAGTAACTTTAGTGAATATCCTAGCTGGTTGAATATTCACATGCATAGCATCCATGCTTTCATATTTCTTAAAGGCTTTGCCGCCATTTTCAACGTCATCCTGACTCTTGCCCCCATTGTAGAAGCTTTGAATGGGTATGTTCTGTCCACCATTAGCTGTTATGCTTAACTCCATATCGTGGGCGCGACTAGATAATTCCTCAAAAGTCTTAGGCTTGAGCCCTTGGAGGATGTAGGAGAGCTCGAAGTGCATGCCTTGGATGCACATTTCAATCGCGGAGCTCTGTGATATCTTTTCCTTGCAATTCAAGCATAACTCCCCCCATCTTTCAATGTAAGCTGTCGAGCTTTCACCATTCCTTTGGCGAGTGGTGGTGAGTTCTAAAAAGCTAACGGTTCTTCTTGTGCTGTAGAAGCGGGTCAAGAACTCGCGCTCCATGTCATGCCAGCTATCAATGCAGCTAGGCTCCAAGTCAGTGTACCAATTGAAGGCAGTACCCTTCAAAGAGCGGACGAACTGCTTGACAAGAAGATCTCCATACGTCCCAGCGTCGTTGCATGTTTCCACGAAGTGGGCGATGTGTTGTCTTGGATTGCCTTTCCCATCGAATTGTTGAAATGATGGAGGTTGATATCCAATGGGCATCTTCAAATCCTCTATCCTTTGGGTGTAAGGCTTGGTGTAAGTGTATGAAGGTTTTTCCTCCTCGAGCTTTCCTTTGATAGCTCCCATGATGAACTCGTTAAGCCGATCTACAGGTATCATGCCCCCTGTGACTGGAATGCTCCTGTCCGAACTTGGTATGTGCGAAGTTGATTCCTCGTGCACTGTAGTTCGCCCAATGAAAGTTGGTGAGTGCGAGGCATCTTCTCCTTGAACCTCAGGTTGTTTCCCAGGAGCCCGGCTAGTTTCACCATTCCTTGTGCTCTCGACCTTTTCAGCTAAGTCGTTGATTCTCTTTTCTTGGTTTTGAAGGAGGGTGGTGATCTCTTCAAGCGCCTTAGTAATGCTTGCAAGCTGGTCCTCTATAGTTGTCGCGCTTGTTGTCATAGCCGGCATGCCTGTATAGATGCGTGACCATTCTGGCACGACCTTCCACATGTTAGACGACGGCGATGTCGGAGACGAGCCTCCGGTGTTAGCGTTTCCTTTTGGGGATGTTAGACTCCAATTATCATTACCTCCTTTCAAAGATGTTGGATTCCCGCTATCGGCTGCTTCTTTCGGAGATGTTGGACTCTCGCTACCAGCTGCTCCTTTTGGGGTAGCCGACTTCTCGCTATTATCCGCTCTTTCTGAGGTAGATGACTTCTCGCTATCAACTGCTCCTTCTGAAGAAGTCGGACCTGCAACATAAATAGACTTCCTCGGGACGGTAGGGGCCGTTTCGAGTCTTTGAATCATACGTCGAACAATTGACTCAGGCTCCGGCGGTCGCATTCCTAAGCTCCTTGCACGGCTCCTGGTTAATGGTGTTTCGGTCTCTCGGCTAGCTTCAGAACCAGTTGTTGATGAAGACTTGGAACTAGCAGCTTGGGCATAAGACTTCTTGAACATCGAGCTTCTTGACGCCATTCCGATTGCTAGTACAGTTGCTTGCTGATGTAGGTAGATAGTGAAGAGATGAGAGGCAGAGCTGTCCCACTGGGCGTGCCAAAATCTGTAAACACAAAAATGTAAACTTTGTATATATTCACAAAATCTGTTGTGTACAGCGTGTGTATAATTCAATGTGCAGGTACAAAATCTCTATGTAGTCCTCTGATTCTTCACTAACGTTGTCTTCTGAAGTGCCTCCGGGATTCAAATAGCGTAGCCTCCGGGTTCAAATGGCGCGTGCCTCCGGGATTCAAACGGCGTAGCTTCCGGGATTCAAGTGGCGTGGCTTCCAACAACGAGCGTCAAGAATTTAGAAATAATCAACCATGCAATGGATTCAAATTGCCTGCAAAATCAACAAAAAATGCGTTCAAGTCTTCAAGCGTTCTTCAATGTCGTTATCTATTGAAGTGCCTCCAGGATTCAAATAGCGTAGCCTCCGGGATTCAAGTGGCGCGTGCCTCCGGGATTTAAACGGCGTAGCTTCCGGGATTCAAACGGCGTGATCTCCAACAACAAACGTCAAGCTCCGAAGCAATCAACTAAAAAGGCTTCAAGATCTTTAAAACCTGCAAAAAATGCCTTCAATGCTTTTAATTCTTCAAGATCTTCAAATGCCTTCAAAAGATCTCTCAAATCTTCAAGCCTTCAAGTTGTCAAACGTTCTTCAATGCCTTCAAGCTCTCAAGTCTTCAAGTTGTTCTCAATGTATTTAAGGTGTGATTGAAGAATGGAATTGAGGCCCTATTTATAGTGAAGTTTGTAACTAAAATCCCTCAACAAATTCCACTAATATTTATTTAATTAAATTAATTAATTATCTACTAAAATGAACCTTGCCAAAATCAAGTCTAGGTTCATTATTCTATCATCTAATTCAAATTCAAATTAAATTATAATTATCTAATTCAAATATAATAAAATCATATTATATTTAAATTATAATTATAATTATAATTCAATTATGAGATGGGCTTGGACCAATTAATTAATTAATTCAATAGCCCAAATCAAATTTACTTGGACTAATTAAATTAATTTAATTATCATAGCCCAATTAATTAAATTGGACTAATGATCAACCTTGAAATTGGGCTTGATAATGATTTAATCGGTCCACTTGTCGGCTTCAAATTTTCTGTGTCTACAGGTCCTTCCAGCCACTTTTTCGTCAAAATTCCACCGGAGGAAAATTTCTTCATTTTTAAGAGGACTAAAATTGACATTTCGCTTGCAATAACAACATCAATACTCCAGGTTTGCAATACACTTTATATAAAAACATATTCTGCACTTTTCGTACTAGGCAAATTTAGTCATTTTTGCCCTCCTAAAACTGAAGAAATTTTCCTCCGATGGAATTTTGACGGAAAAATGGCCGGAAGGACTATTTTTGCCAAAAAAAAAAAAAACAATAGTCGTGGACTAAAATTGCAAGATTTTAAAGTCGTGGATCAATTTTGACAGTGTCACTATATTCGTGAGACCAAAAGTGCGAAACACTCTTAAATTTTTTTCACTTGCAACTTAAGAGCATCTGAAAAGTGGATTTTTTTTTTTTTTTGTCAGTTTCTAAAGACGCAGGTGTGTTCGCACAAGCTTAACTTACTTGTCAAGTAGGCAATATTTACATTCAAGGAATTCTGAGGGGTTAAGATTAGTCTATCACTCAATGGACAATGCTAGATTGCTAGTGCGCAATGGGCTTCATTTTATTTTTATTTTTTTTAACAATTTTCAGAATTTGAGGGTAGTGCAACTTGTTTTTTCTCTTTCATTGCATCTCTTCTCCACATTAATTTGTTATTCTTAAAACTTGGAAAAACAATCCCTCGGTGGAAAAGTCCCAAGTAAAAAGTACTTTAACTTGATAATTTTAGATAGTTGGTAAGCAATTGTTAAAGCAATTATGGAATCAGAAGTTCAATCCTTGTAAATGGGTAACTATAGTGACTTAGGTCGAACGGAAACACCGGTACCTAACGACGTAAGGAATTTATTAAATTTAATCATTTTATAAGACAAAGAAAAAAAAAAAACAAGAATAAAAACAACAATGAACAATGTACTTCTCTAGCACATTTCTATATTGTACTTATCTATCAAAATTAAGCAAAGTAAACAAATGAATCTAATTGAAACAAGTCCATCCAGATACCGAATATATGGGACGATCATGCCAACCGATCATCAAGCTTCCTTTTTGACTACTAATCTTGTACCCATCTACACCATACGACTCTACAAACCTTATAGCGTCATCCATAGTGTCACCCCACAATCTTACCGGTCTAAACTTGGCACGCCCCAACCTAACCATCCAATTAGCAAATTTGTCATGCCTTTCTTCTCTTTCTAAACCATCGCATGCCACAATGTTTTCAATTTCTTTGCCAATCATTTCTTCCACCAACAACCTCTCCTCACATAAAGCCCCCTTGAATGCAACATTAATTGAATCAAACATTGCACTGTAATATCGTAACCCCTCAACAAATCTGTCAACTAATTTTTGTAAGTTATGGTTAGATTCTTGCTCCACCAACATTACTAACTTTGGTGACAAAGAACATAACTTTTCTAGGAATTCATCAGCATGTTTGCAATGTTTAATGTTTTTAGAGTCTTTGTTTAGTCCAAATTGTGCATCAATGCGGTCGTCCTCGGCTAAAAGGACATGAAGATTTAGTACTGATATGAAAGCTAATGCTTCGCCTGATGTTACCTTAACGATTGAGCTGAAATTCAAGTCTCGAAGATGGACGTTGACTGGGTTGAACTGAAAGGACATGTCTAATTGCTCAGCTTCTTTTTTTAGGCGCACGCCAAGTTTGTCCAATGCATTCTTGTTGCTACTAACACAAGTGATTCTTAAATGGGGAGGTCCATCGGGTGAAGTTGCAAGGATTCTCATAAATGGGACCCACAATTTTGGGTCACTTGAGCCCAGATCAACTACATGGACTACTCGCTCTCCCAACATGGCTTGAACTAAAGTTCTATTTATAACTGCATATGCAAAGCCCAAATAGGGAAGGGCCTTTGTGAAAATAGACCGTGCACGATCAAGATCGAATTTCATTAGACTGCTACAATTCAAGGCCTTATAAACACCCGGCCAGCGCTTCACTAATCGAACTGCCAAGGCAGAAGCAAACCAAGTTGCCAACCGATGCATGGAATCATTACTGGCAGAACTAAACTGAAAAATTTGTCGAAGACACACATCAGCTTGGTGAAGATCACCGGAAGAAACATGAGAAGCACAAGTAAACAACAATTTGATGAGTTTAATACCATTATTTTCAGATTTCAAGACATCACATATTGCACCATCAGTACTAGTAGTAGTAGGAGACAGACTCAAAGATAAAGACACATTTGATTTTGACAATGAAAGTTGGGAACTCATGAGGGACTTACTCTCTTCAATGTCTAAGATAATAGTAAAGTTGATTTGGGAGCAATGTGTTTGTGCATATGAAATGATGCAATTAGTGGTTTCATTTAAAGGGGTCATATGCAAGTATGCAACCAATCTACATATTGAAAATTCATAGCCTCCCTCTTGGAATATGAAAATCGTCCAAATGGAACAGTACAAAAATGAAAGAGTAATAAATACTCCATTTTGTTTGTTTTGTTTGTTTTCAATAAATACTCCATTTATTTAGTGACGAATTTGAATACATAAATGGATTGACTTTTCCAAGAATCAGCCTATTCACATAAAAAAGGATTGCCACGCCTGGAAAAAAATGGTTAAGTGGATAAAATATGATTCTTGTATTAAAAATAATCAAGAGTCTTTTTAATACGATTTACCTCTTTTAATTGGTTGATATATTGGTGCCATCCAATCCATCATAATCCATCATCCTCCTCATCCTTATAAAAGATATCCAAAGATTCATCGAGAAATTAATTCCACACATTTAGCACAATAGCACGTAAGAGTGAAGATCCTAGCTACAAGTTTATTCACAACTTTGTTTTGTTCTCTAGACCTCTAGAGACATGCGTCGACCCGACTTTCATTGTCTTCCTAGACCGCATTTTTCCAATAGATTACAAAATGAACCTCTACACACTTCCCAACACAACAATCATCACAATAGTCGGTTTCAACTAAGACCCACCAATAATCCTAGCTCCTATGTAAGTTGGAGCCCCTTAAAGATTCGCCAAATCTTAACTTCCAACGCACCATGACTACCAATATTACCAGTGAAGCCACACATCCATTCGTCCATGCCACCTCTGAATCAATCTCCCACATGTCCACACCTTAGAGTTAAGTTATTTTAAATTAGATAGTATATTGTAACATTATAAGATGATAATTTTTACGCACTTAAACTTTTTGTGTATATATATTTGACTATATTCAATATTCATTACTTAATACATTAAAAGAATCGAGATATAGTTGACTATATTTGGCAAGAAACTCTTGTACTTACATACCATGATGAAAACCTACTCCAAGCTAAGACAAGTGAGACTGACATCTAGTAATTGGAATTTGAATATGATTGCATGCCCCTTTCTCTACCTTGTCCGCTTCCTCTCGCATTTGTCATTCTCTTCGACTTTTCTTTACCTATTGTTTTTCTTGTAGTGTAAAATATAGATTATAGTGTTGTAAAATGAATTGAGCTAAACACGAAATAAATAAATTATCATATACCACTAATTAATTGAGAAATTAAATTAGTGTTGTGATTTGATTCCATCCCTAAATCCCTAATGGGCAGTTTGGTTCACGGAATAGACTTGGAATGACATAGCATTTTCAGTAATAGGCATATTCTTCTATTTGGTAACCACTTGTATTCCTAGAAACATTGTTCCCGGAAGTGACATATTCCCCATGCAAGGGAAAGTTTATATTTCCTATTTTACTCCCAATTAATTTATTTCCTATTTCACCACGTCAACACCATCACCATCGCCGCCACCGCCACCACCGCCACCACCCCAACACCGCCACCAGCACCAGCACCAGCACCATCGCCGCCACCACCACCACCACCACCATCGCCACCGCCGCCGCCATCGTCACCATCACATATTTTTATAAGGGTATTTATCTTTTAAAACATATTTCATTTATATTTCTTAAATCAACCAAACACTATAATATAATTCCTAAAGTCTATTCCTTCCACGAACCAAACAATAGAATACAATTTCTATTTTATTCTATTCTTTGTCTATTCCATTCTTTATGTAATAGTATTTCTGTTACCTCAAAATTCATTCTGTGAATCAAAGGTGTTGTAATATTATTTAAGCCAAATACAATGGCCTGAAAATCGACTTTTTAACTACCCTTTGCAAGACTTTAGCCTTTGATGGTTTGTGCAGTCAGCCACATCTACCCTCGTGAGAGGCAAATAAAACAAACAATACAAACAAACATATGTTGTTGAAGTTATCCATAGTCAGCCGTTTGGGATCAAATTGCCATCACAATCCTCTTTTGTATGTTTTCATGGGTTGCCTCGTAAGAGAAAGATTAATTTTATCGAGGTCTTAATTAGAAACATTTGAAACAATTCTTTTAAGAACGTTTTTACTTATGCGTGAATATATATATTAGTTCATTAAGTGAGTGAAACATTATTCTCATATAGAAGATCACCAATTCGATTATTGATAGCACCTTCTCTAATCTTTATTGTTTTTTTTTTTACCTAAAACTGTAGGGTATACACCAGAAAATTGTAGGGTTCACCTATGATTAAAGCTCAAATGGTGAACTAAATTAGCGGACTAAATGTGTTTAAGTTCAGGCACTACCACGACTAAAGTTTATGCGTAAGTCCAACTTAAATAGGAACTAATATAATGCTTAGGACGAATATGCATCAAATTAAACATTAAACTCATATATTCCAAATAAACTGCATAATTTAAAGTAATTTATTACTATATGAGATTTATTGTTTTTTTTTTTGCCTTCTCTAATCTTTATTGTTTTTTTTTTTGTGTGTGTGTGTGTAAATCACAATATGATTACTGCATAATTTAAAGCAATTTATTACTATATGAGATTTATTGTTTTTTTTTTTGCCTTCTCTAATCTTTATTGTTTTTTTTTTTTTGTGTGTGTGTGTGTGTAAATCACAATGTGATTCGGGTCTTTCGGCACAGGAGCTGCCCAAAGAAAATTGTCACTTGTGGGAATCGAATCCGGGTTATCCCAAAATTTTTTTCTACAAAGAGAGCTCATTTGCCACTTGAGCTACCCTGTTGGGTTTGAAAAAATGGTCAAATAAGCCCTTAAACTTTACATCAAAAGTCAATTAGGCACATAAACTTTAAAACAGTACAATTAAGCCCTCAAATATATTATTTTTTGTTAAATATGTCAAATTTTTACACTGTTGACTGGAGAAATTTTTTCAAAAAACATCATGATATCGACCAAATGGTAGCCTTCTCTAGGAGAAGGCAACCAGAAAATGGCGTTTTCTCCGAAGAAGGCAACCATAAGTGGTCATTCTTGGAGAAGAGGATAAAAAAATTCTCCCAAAAAAGATGATTAGAAGTGATTGCTGCCGGAGATTGGTCGAATTTTTTGTTGAAATGAAAATGACTGCTTATGAAAATAACATGATTCAAAGTTTAATTACACTTTTTTAAAAATTAAGTATTTAATTGATTTTTGATATAAAATTTAGGGGTCTATATTTGATCATTTTCCTTGAATGGATAGAAGTTTCATCAAATATTATCCCTCTATGTACATCATTGCGGCACTGATTACTCATTATGCGAGTTCAACTATGCTCTCCTTAAAAGGAAAAGCCAATAATAAAGTTCCAAAACCATTCGCCATTGCCGGGGATCAAACCCGGGTCATCCGCGTGACAGGCGGAAATACTTACCACTATACTACAACGACTCTGTTGGCCCTTGGTTAGCTCTTAATTTATTCTTACGCCACAATATATTTATCTTTGAAGCCTGAAACTTGTTGAGAATCTGTAAAGTAAACCAAGTTCATGCATAGTTGTGCTTTCTAGCTGCAATCTCACTCCCCCATTATAAGGGGTTCAGTAAAAAGCTAGCAATGAATACCACAAGTCCTGAGAGATTTGCACATTTGTGATCTAAGATTCAGGTAGCATTATATTCTTGAGCTTAAATCCACAAATTTTCACTTTTCTAAAATAATACAGTTTAGTAGGATTACAGCAAGAATATCCCCAAGTCAGGTAGATACAATTGATAGTAATACACTTCATGAATGATATATTACACTTCTACTATGTCTGGTTTCATAGATCAATCAAACTCATCGCCATTGTAGCTCAGATCATCCCCATCAAGCATTTGCTCCCTGCAAGTGAAAAGTTGCAGACTTATTTAGCTCCCATGATAAGTCGGGTGTTTGGATTAGCAAAGTGAAAGAGTTTAATGGCAACGTGAGTGAGGATGTTTTCCCCCTTGGGTATTTTTATTACCGTTAAAAGGACAGAAGAAAGGCAGTCGACAATAGTGTGCAGAAGAATGATTTCTGCTAGTCTTGAACTTTACTAGATCTCTATTGTCTGTGCAGAAGAAATAAAGTTCCAATACTAGCATAAATCTTAGCTATGGGTGCAGTATCAATACACACAGTGAAGGTGTGATCGTTAAATTTGGAAGGAGCAAAGTCCTAAATGGTTAACCAAGTACGGTTCCTTGTCACACATGGGTGTTATTATGAAAGGCCGAACAAAATGTCATGACTGAAAATAGAAGCATTGCATATATTATACTAAAAGAGTGATGGTGAAAGAAGCTTCATGCAAACCAATACCTTAATCTTTCACAGAGCCGAGCTAATGCATCAGACCCTGTTCTTGAAGCAACATCCTCAATTTCAGAAGCATTAGCAGGAGTGACACTTTCAGCAAGTCGAAACTCGCATAACTCCTTCAAGGAACATGCATCCGTCAATACTGCAGAATGGCCGCCACCAGCTGCCAGCTTCCTGACTTCTCCAACACACCTAAAACAATGCTTGAAAATTAGAAAATTTATCAACAGGTATTATAGATTTGAAGCAAATAGTTTAGGAAGGTCGTACCAATCAACTGGCGAAGGATACCAAGCATATGTGGATTTCTCATTAGCCGCTTGACCATAGCTATTGTAACCCCATCCATGAATTCTTCCATCCTTGGTAGAAATTAAAGTGTGAGAATGTCCACAGGTGACAAGTTGCACACCAGCTGGGATAACCAGAATAGGTATATTTCTAAGCATCACATCTGATTCATTGAGTTTGCAAGAGAAAGATCCCGATACGGGCCCAAGGCCCAATTGCCCAACTTGACCTCCACCCCAGGTATAAAGAGCTCCTTTAGTGGTCAGAGCACATGTGTGCATACCACCGCATGCAATGTCCTTGACGAATACGCTATCAAGGGAAACCACACGCCTAGGTAGAAGTTCCTTATCACTAGACTGGAGGGAACAATGCCCAAGCTGGCCCATACTTCCTAGTCCCCAAGTGTAGCTGCAACATTGGATTAAATCATTACAAGAAGAAGAATACTTATCTAATATCATATAGCAATTGAAGAAAAATATTCAAGAGATCCAAAGCTCATTTGCTGTCTGTATAAGATTTTGTTTCGCTAGCAAAGCAGCATATATAGGGCTTTACAGAAAAGTAATTGCTTGGATAATTCAGGGGAGTCTTACAAAGTGGAAAGACTAGGTAGCAAGGACCAACAGCAAATTCTAAACAGCGAAACATTACAGTAAGTAAAGAAGGCAAAATCCTCTATTCCCCATCATAAGAAATTTATGCTATCAACATTGTCACAAAAGCTGGGTGCTTTCCTGAATCAATATCAAGTTGCTGATCTTGACCACAAAAAAAGGAAACAAAAGAAAAATCAAAGAAACTTAATAGACTAGAAAATGAGATTGGCATGAGAAAAATATGCCAAGTATTTTCTATTAACTTACTATTAAGTACTCTATCTAGTCTCTACATTAACAGAACTACATACAAATAAGCAACTTCTATTTCAATTTTCAAATTCAGAATGGAACTCGGAGCTAAGCGTATACACAAATCCACTTTTATTAGATATCCAAGTCAAGCTGGGATATGATATGCCCTCTCTCTGATCTGAGCCAGAAAGGTGCTTTGATGATAGATCAGCATGACAAATGTCAATAAAAAACTCTATTGTCCCCATTGAGAATATGATTCTCCACTGTGTTACTAGAAACCATTTCCATTGGGAAGCTTCAACCGAACAAATCTATAGCACAAAATCCAATTGTGTAAAATTCAATGTTTTAGCTTTCCATCTTTTCTTTTTCTTCCTCTACCTTTCTACTTATATTATCTAATGCTTGCTGTCTTAATCCCTATTTGTCAGTTAGAGGGGTTGTTATGCATCTTATGTTATCACTATCTGCCATCCATCAACTATTCCAAAAATGGGGTGGCTAGACTCCAGATTAGTTGGGTATACTGGGGGATCTTTGAACACTTACACCTCGCCTTCTTCTGATATAGCTGCTGAGTGGTACTCCCCACATGACACTTGAGTAATCTTCACAACCTCAGGGGCATCATCGAGAAATTTAGCATACCCACTAATCACACGAGGGCCTTGAAGGCCTTCACTTGTAACACCTCTGCCAAGCTGACCATATTCATTATAGCCTGGTTTGCCGAATCATTAAGAGTTCTAATTAATACTTTCCACAATATCAGAGTCTGATAGTTAGTTTCCATTCTTAAGTTGTAAAACCAAATGAGAAATAAAGTTAGAGTTCAAGCCATGAGTTTCAGCGAATCAGATAAATCACAGATAATAAACTATGCAAGCATAACAAATAATGTTACAGAAGTTACCCCATGCTTGTAGTACACCATCTTCTGATAGAGCCACAACATGAACAGCCCCACATGAAACTTGGCGAATAATCTGTATTGGTCAAACAAATTGGAGTGGTTTGGCAATTGGCACATTGTGGAAATAAATGAAAACTCCATAATATAGAGAGTGTGTTTGTGCTGGTGTTTGAGTGAGAGAGAGATAGTTCCCAAAAAAAAAAAAGAGTATGGTGTCCATACCACATCAGGAGAAAAGGCACCCCAAAATAGACGTGGATGATTGGACCCCTGAGAAAGAAAAAAATGAAACAGCATGTGTGAGTGTGAAGAGACAAAGAAACAAATGAAGAGATCTCAAAGATTCACAAGCATGACCTGGTTTTGTCCCCAGACCCAGAGTCTCCTAGTTGACATGGACCCATCATTCTCACGAGGCTCTGCAATAGCAGCGGTGCAGTGTGCTCCACAGGAAACAGACAAAACAAATTCAGACTGCAATTGCTTCACTTTGGTTGGGTGTTTCCTACCCTCTTCCGTTCCATCACCCAACTGGCCAAATTCATTAGTCCCTATTAGGAATGACAAAATTGCATAACATAAGTAAATCTTTTGATGTAAAAATATTCACAAGAACGAAATTTGCTCAATGCATTCCTTCATAGACTAGTTCTCAGAAGCCATTTTTCTAGCAATGCCCACTCCTTCAACAGCAACCAGGCCAAGTTTACTCTTTTCCCCTCTTTATTTATTTATTTATCTGAAGATACTTAATATGAACTGCTCCATATTCCATAATGGACATGGCATAAAAATGGGAACTTTCTGAATCACAGTGAAAGAATTATTGACGAATGCAATCTTTCCACAAAAAAATTCCAGCTACTAACAATTTCTATGAGGCTTTCAACATACTTATTTTTAATTTTTTATTAAAATTTAAAAGAAAAATAATTAGCTAGCTTTAAGAACAATTAAAGAATGCGAAACCGAAGAAGAATTATCCGAGTTACTCGGAGTGGGGCAAATAGAGAAAATAGTACAATATTAATGAAATGAAATGAAGGGCCAAACCCCAGGTAAAGAGAGACCCGTCGGAGGCGACGGCGGCTGTGTGTTCGCGGCCACAAGCGATATCCAACCACCGCGAATTCCCGCCAGCCGCCGGGCACCCGAATAGGTCGGACGGCAGCTGCCTGGGAATCCGCAAGCTCCTCTCCTTGCCCTTCCGACCCGTTTGGCCCGATTTGTTGTAGCCCCACACGTAGATCGCGCTCTTGGTCGGAAGACTCGTCGTCCTAGACTCCCCGAATATTTCGGCAATATCCATTTTTTTTTTTTTCCAATTTTCGGAACCTCAAATTCAACCTAAATCCAACGCGACTGATCTTGATCGATTCTTGCCCGGGAAATGTAAGCGAACTGAAGGATTGAATCTGAGAGGGGAACGGAAGAGAGTAATTTTCTGGGGATTTGGCGTGAATAGTTGAGCTCCGAAGATTTTGGGAGGGAACAAGAAGCAAGCTCTGCGGTTGCAGCGCGCACCAACGTAGAAATAACAGATAGATACTTTATGGCTAATACTTTTGACTTTATTTTACTTCAAAATGCCATATTGCCATTACTTCTAGTTTAATTTTAGAGTGGCACATCCTTGTAATTTTAATCGACAAATGATCATAATAAATTAGTATATATTATCATGTTTGATAATATAATTAACTTATCAGTTAAATTAGTGATATTATATTAAATATGTAGTGTTTGGATTCAATTAAATTTGTTTATCGATTTAAGAGGTTATATGTTTTTTTTTTCTTTTTTCAGTTAGACGTACAATTAATTATATTAATTGGCTCATTAAGCGATTTTATTTTACTCTCTATTTTTTCAAACACTTGTATACATGATAAAGACGAACAAACAAAAATAACATTTTTTTTAGAATTAAAAGATAAATTACTAACATCTACCAACTTTTACCAAGATTATGTGGTCTAATGGTATCCGGGTTGGACTTCCATTTAGAAGGTTGTGAGTTCAAGTCTCAGTGAAGGTGTTATTAATTCTTCGTGTTTTAGTAGGTTGAAAAAGTATATGAACAGATACGACTCTTCGTGTTTCAGTAGGTTGAGAAATTTTTTTAACACAATTGGGACACTCAAACCTTTAAATATTATTTTACAAAATGAAAAAAAAAAAAAGCTTTTTATTTTTTATTTTAAATAAAATTTGAATATTTACCCCAATCAAGTTGGTAAGACTATATTGTTAATCACAAAATTAGATTCTGGCCTTGTTTGGTAAAATAGTTAGTCTATCAGTCAATTTTGACTTATTTGACCACTATTAAGTGTTTAACTTGGTTAAAAAATTAATATAAGTGTTTGGTTAATTCTTCAAAATGCTAAAATTCAAAAAGCTGCTCAAAGCAGCTTTTTCAATTAACTTTTTGAAAAAATAAATTATATCAAACCGCTATCAGCTAACAGTCGTTTACCAAACAGGACATTTAAGTTCAATTAAGTAATACTATAGTGGTTATGAGTTTCTCAAAGCAGGATTTACTAACTATACATTATTGAATAGAAATAAATGGAGAATTTGGGTGTCAAATTTCGGCCGCAAACGCCACAATAGTGGAGGGATGGGAAGTTTATTAAGGGGTAGTTTACTTGCTTATTTTTAGTTAGAAAGTAATACGATTGGGTGTGAAAAAAAGGGATGCCAAAGGTGCAGGTTCAATGCGATTCAAAGAAGGTGGTGGAGTGGATTGGATTGAAGGGAATGATCAACCAAATGGCTAGATGAGGAACATCATTGAAAGGTGGAGAATGTGGAAAGCAAAAAAATTGAGACATCATTTTTTAGCATATCTATTGAGAGCAGAATAGGGTAGTCGACAGTTTAGTCAAAAAATTTGTCACGGGACAATTAGGTGGATTGAATGGGAGTAACTTCAAAATGATACTCCCTCTATCCCATTTTATTTGTCCTACTTACTATGCATTAGTGAAATTAACTATTTCTTCTTTGTTTATTTTTTTAATTATTTTTTACTTATTTTTAAATTTGAATTTTTTTTTTTTTTTGTGTTTAATAGCATTTTAGTGTAGTTTCTAAATATATAAATTTTGTATATTAATATTGACGGTAATAACGTTACCGGTAAATAATAATATAATAATGCTAAAAGAGGGTAACAATAGCTGTATTGTCTTTTGTCTCAGTATAGAAAGCACAGTCCGTCCTGCTCAGCTGAGGGAAGTTCTATTTATGCTAGGTCCTAACGGTAACAACATGAAGTGACATCCTTGGGGAGCTGAGCTAACGGCAAGAATATGAAGAGTCATGAATGAGGCGTTGATGCTTTAACTCTCTCTCATCAATGGTGGCATCAATGGTGGTTCAATGACAATAAATGTGACACCTGTTGGAATTCTAACCGTTGGAGCATCCATGCGGTGTCGGGTCAAATATGGTGGCAGGTCAGATGCATACTTATGATCCAGGTCGGGTGCCAGCCCTATTATCCTGTCACCAGTCCCCCCTACTCCTGAGTATACGAATGTTTTTGAGTTGACTTGGGAGTAAGGCTGAATCAATGGTGATACTGTGTCATCCTGATTGAGTTAGGATATGCGATTTTGTTTTCCAGATCCCTTCCTGCCTGAGCAATTTGAGCACCTTTCTATCAGCTCTTGTCACCATCCGTCGGTTTCTGCGGTTAACATTACCTTTTTTTTTTTTTTTTTTTTGCGGCGTGGGCCGGCTTCGGGTTGGGGCGCCGCCTCAGCCTGGCTGAGGCGGGTGCCTCGCCTTGTTGCCGAGGCACTGCGCTTCGGCCACGGCCGAGAGGCGTGCGCCTTGGCCGGGTGGCTGAGGCGTGCGCCTCGGCCGGGTGGCTGAGGCGTCGCCTCGGCCACTTGGCCGAGGCGTGCGCCTCGACCCTTTTTTTTTTTTTTTTTTCGAGTGGTTTTTTTTTTTTTTTCGAGTGGCCGAGGCGTCGCCTCGACCAGGAGGCCAAGGCGTGCGCCTCGGCCTTGGGCTGAGGCGCGACCTCAGCCATCTGGCCGAGGCGTGTGCCCCGGCCATGTGGCTGAGGCGTCGCTTCGACCACTTGGCCGAGGCGTGCGCCTCGACCCTTTTTTTTTTTTTTTTTTTTTTTTTTCGAGTGGCCGAGGCGTGCGCCTCGGCCTTGGGCTGAGGTGCGCCCTCAGGCATTTGGCCGAGGCGTGCGCCTCGGCCTGTGGCTGAAACGCTGCCCGCCCGCCCCCCCCCCCCCCCCCCCCCCCCCTTTTTTTTTTTTTTTTTTTTAATCGAGGCACCGCACCTCGGCCTTTTTTTTTTTTATTTTTAGAGTGTAGTGACGGCCGTGGTTGATCGAAGGTGGTTTTGAAAACCTTTTTATTTGAGAGCGAAGTAACCTGGGCGGACCATGATTACTAAATACTGTTTACAGGTCTGGGCGGGCCACGACTTCAACGTATTACTGATAATATCTAATTAAATTTTCTGAGTTCCGTACCCGGTCGATCATCCTTGCAAATGGTGTGGACTTGTGGATTCTTTCCGCCAATCTTTTTGCATGCTTTTACGTAACAACTGCGGGTTGCTCGCTGGTTTCCTCTGACGACCCCTATCCCATTCGGAGTAGGGAACTTCATACACAAGTGTTCCACCGACACTATGGCCTTGAGGTCCTCCAGTGCCGGCCTCCCCAAAATGATGTTGTGCGCACAAGTGAGTCTTACCACGATGAATTCCATGTCAAGTTTCCGAATGTTAGGGCTCGTGCCTATCTCCACTGGTAAGGCCACCGACCCCTCCGTCTCCACTGAATCACCCGTAAATCTAGAGAGTGAGGTACGTACTTCTTTGAGTTGGTTCCTAGGTATCCCTAACTTGGTGAAGGCATCGTAATACATCACATTGACTGAGCTTCCCGTGTCGACTAAGATGCGGCGGACAATGACATCGTTGACGTCCATCTCAACCACCAGGGCGTCACGATGGGTAGCGGGCCCTCTGGGAGGTCATCATCAGAGAAGGTGATGGCCTCCTGTCTCTGTTTCTTTTCTCTAGGAAGACTCACCACTTCTCCCACGTATATCTGTCGGCTCCACTTCTTTTTTTTTTGCGGGCGTGTCGCCCCCTGCGGGTCCACCATAGATAAAGTGTATGGTGTGCTTCTTTTGTCGTCTGGGCGCCACCTCAGTTTCTTTCTCGCTATCACTCTGCTCAGATATTTGGTCGTGGTCTCTTTTTTTGGCGTTTGAGGTGGACGGCTCGGTGCCATCCTCATTCATCCAGACATTTTTTTGTGGATTGTGTTGCGGCTGTTGCTGCTGCTTGGATCGCTTGACGAAATGTCGGAAGTAGCCCTGCTGGATGAGGTCTTCTATTTGTCTCTTCAAAACGTGACACTCATTCGTATCGTGTCCGGCATGCCTATGAAACCTGCAGTACTTTGTTTGGTCTGCCTTTGGGGAGACCTTCATGCACTCCTCGGGGAATTCTACCATTCTCATCTCCTCAGCTTGCTTTAGAATGACACTGACGGGATGGGTAAGAGGAGTTAAATTACGCAAGGGGACCAGTCGAGGTCGTTCGTAGTCTCGGCCCTTCCCTGCGGTCGGGTGGTTTGAGAGTGGTGCCTGGCTGGGCGGACCAGCTTTCCCAGGCTTCCCACCTTTCCTACCATCCTCTTCGTCCTTCTTCTTCCTGTCGACGTCCTCTGTTTCGGCATAGCGGCTAGCCGTCCTCATCAGATCTTCGTAAGAGCGGGGGTGGTGGGCGTTCAGCTGCTTGTGGAAATACCATGATCTTAATGCATGGATAAATATTGGGATCGCGCCTTGGAGTCGAAGTCGTAGACATTATTGACTTCCTTTTTCCATTTGATCAGGAAGTTTTTTAGGCTCTCGCCTCTATCTTGCTTTACTACGCACATGTGAGAGAACAGTTTCTTACGTTGTATGCTACCAGAGAAGTATGTCAGGAAGCTTTTGGACAACTCTCCAAAATTTTGGATCGACCCGTCTGGGATGGTGTTGAACCAATCTTGGGCCGTTCCATCCAGGGTGGACAAGAACGCTCGGCACATGATGGCGTCCCCTGCCCCAATCATCACCATAGCAGCCTTGTACCTAGTCATGTAGACACGTGGGTCAGTGGCTCCTGTGTATGCCTTGATGACGGGTAACCTGAACCCTCGGCAGAGGTACGTCCATGATGCTTGGGGAGAACGGTGCTGCCATTCGTACCTCGGGTTCCGGCGACTGCTCCCGTGCCTCAACCCTTCTTGCTAACTCCTCGATCCTTCTCTGCAGCCTTTCGACCAGGGCTGATTCGTCAGGGTGCCGGTGCGGGGCCGGCTGCCGCTCCTCCATGTGTCGGTGTGGAACCCGCTCATCAACGCGTCGCTTCCCCGCCGAGTGCCGTCGTGGAGCCGGCTCTTCGACGCGTCGCTCCTCCAAGTGTCGACGTAAGGCCGACTCATCAACGTGTTGGCGTGGGGTCGGCTCCCGAGACTCGCCCACCTCCTCTGTGGGTGATCTCTCGGCTTCTCTGTTTTCGTGTTGGCGAGGACCTCTAGTAGAGGATCCCTCGGCCCGTGATCATAATCTTTGCCGCACGGGCGCCCTTTGTCCCAATCGTTCTGGTGCAGATTGGGAAGGGCCTGGTTGTCGTCTGGCTGGTCCACTTCTTTGGGTCTCCACCCTTATTTCCTGGGGCCGCGGCGGGGGCACTTGGCCTTGTAGTCCCACCGCCACTTGGTTTAGTGCCGCCGCCACCGCTTGCTGGATGGTCGCCTGGAGGTTCACGACTTGGTTCGCCCCTCCATTGTGGAGCTGGTCTCGGAGGTCCCCTCCATTGTTGAGTTGGTCTCGAAGGTTTCCTCCATTGTTGAGTTGGTCTCGAAGGTCCCCGGGCCTCCCGTTGTTGAGCTGTTCTCGGAGGTCCCCTCCGCGATTGTTGGTGAGTTGGTCCCGAAGGTCACCTGAGGCATTGCCATTGTTCACGTTGCGGGAACCGTGGGAACTGCGAGACACCATTCTTTCAAGCTTGCTGTTGAAAGAGGAATGAGTTGTGTGTGTCGTAGCCTGCTTGAGTATTGGACTCAGGCTCTCAATGAAAGCACCAATGACGGTAATAACGTTACCGGTAAATAATAATATAATAATGCTAAAAGAGGGTAACAATAGTTGTATTGTCCTTTTGTCTCAGTATAGAAAGCACAGTCCGTCCTGCTCAACTGAGGGAAGTTCTATTTATGCTAGGTCCTAACGGTAACAACATGAAGAGACATCCTTGAGAGCTGAGCTAACGGCAAGAATATGAAGAGTCATGAATGAGGCGTTGAGGCTTTAACTCTCTCTCATCAATGGTGGCATCAATGGTGGCTTCAATGACAATAAATGTGATACCTGTTGAAATTCTAACTGTTGGAGCATCCATGCGGTGTCGGGTCAAATATGGTGCCGGGTCAGATGCACACTTATGATCCGGGTCGGGTGCCAGCCCTATTATCCTGTCAAATATTAAACTAAATATTATGAAAAATTGAATTAAAAATAACTTCAGTCAAGTCTCATTAACCGAATTAGACACATAAAATGGGACGGAGGAAGTATTATAAGTGTGCTCTAGACAACAAGTTTGGAGTGCCATACAGTCAAAATATTAATATATGATGTTACATGTAAGACACCGGGATTGGCCTTCTTACGAGTAAAAAACACAAATGGAGAAACACATTTAAGCAATATTTGTGAGTCTTCCCTCAAAGATATACCTATACAGCTCATGGTGATATCACGGCTTGCGTGGCGAAAGTTCTCACGTGTTTTTTTTTTTTTTTTTTTTTTTTGTGGAAGAATATTATAGAAATTAATAATAATTGAAGAAAAAAAAAACAATGTAGACGTACTTTTGGGAGAAGGGGGTAGTTGAAAGATTTTCTTCTCTGCAAATTTCTCCCGTTCCGTTGGCAGTTTCAGACGTGCTGTCGGACAAAAACGCGGGTTTTGCGGGACGGGCGTGTATATATAGTCGAAATAGGATCAAGAACTTGATACTCGGTTCATTCTTGAAATCTTGAAGTGGCATGCGATTGGTGTCTCTACAGAAATTCCAGGTTTCGCGATTTCCCAGGTTAGGCTCTTCTTGAACTTCTCAGGTTTCGTATGCTTTCTTTCTTAGATTCTTTTGATTTATCCCGCCCTGTAAGGGAATCGACCAGAGAGAAATTAAGGTTTCAGGGTCTTTTAGTTCATCTCTGAAATGTTAATTTTCAAGAACTGGAAGACAGCTCAATCCAACATCCATGGTAGGATAGGTTTGCAGACAAGACTAACTGTTGTTCGGATGATGTTGTTGCTTTCTTGTCTTTGTAGTTTAGGACATATATGCTTAATAGAACATTAAAAACTCAAACTTGGATTAGATGTGTTCTTCTTCATGAATCATGAGTATCTAGACCTTTTCCTCAATGACGAGGAAACCCGTAGCTGCTATTCGAGGGTGTGTACGGGTAAATCTGCTTTGTTATCCTAGCCGACAAAGGACTACAAGAGGTAAATCAATTTAGGATGCTCATAGCTAACTGGCTGAAATCAAGAATGCCAAATAGGCCGCTTTCTTGAATGTGTGCATCCAGATTAGTGTCATAGTGATGGATATACCGGGTGTTATTTATGCAACTGTGTAGTCAATTTGGGTACAACCAGTTTTGAAGTCGCAAAAAAAGAAAAGTTTTTTTCTGTGCCCAAGTTGTTTTGGAGGCTTTAAGGTTTGGTTATAAACTTCTAGCAACTACTGACCCGATTGCTCGTTTTGCATCAGATTCATGGCTCAATCATCTGCTAACAGCAGTGGGAGGAAGCTTATTCATATTGATATTAGTTCAGATAGTGTATGCCCATGGTGCTTTGTTGGGAAAAGAAACCTCGATAAAGCTATAGCTTCTTCCAAGGATCAGTACGATTTTGAGGTGCCGTTCAACTTTTCTTTAAAAAGAAAAACTACTATTTCAACTTGTTCCTTACGGTGATTGGTGAAGTTCCATTTTGCAGATCAAATGGCATCCCTATTTTCTTGATCCTTCTGCGCCCAAAGAAGGTGTTAGTAAGAAAGAGTTCTATCTGCGAAAGTTTGGAGCTCGAAGTGAACAGCTTGGACGGAGAATGACTGAGGTTCAACTTCTTTCTTTCTTATTCAACTTTTTCGATTGTTGTTTAACAAGTATCCTTTACAGTATGTAAATCACTGTTACTCATTATGATTATGTCCAATGTGCAGATTTTCAAGGGTCTCGGGATGGAATATGACACATCTGGACTTACGTGAGTTTATTTTGTTTCTAAACCTTTTCACGGGGACACACGAGAATCACTTATGTTTGTTCTGCTGTTTATGTCTCGACCGGGCAGGGGAAACACTCTGGACAGTCACCGGCTCATATATTTTGCGGGAAAACAAGGCCAGGATAAGCAACACAAACTTGTCGAGGAGCTTTTCATTGGCTATTTCACGCAGGGAAAGTATATAGGTGACAAGTAAGTACAATGTTCTCCCTTCGACAATGTAACTTAGTTATACTTTACAGTCTGATCCAGTCTACTATGTTACATTCAATGCTGTAGAAGGCGCTAGGTGCTAGTCGGGCGCCCGGGGGCACTCGACGCCTAGATGCCGCCTAGGCGGACGAGTAATAATAGCAGTGTTGCAAAAATCGCGCCTAGCGATTTTTTTCAACATTGAATAATAGTAAGAAAAATACATCAATGTACACCTTAAAAAAACACTCGGCCAAGTTGGATGACTCGGGCACCTAGGCCGCCTAGTTGACTGACTAATATCCGCCTAGTACCACCCTACGAGATTTCTTAGGTTTCTGTTTGATGTCAAGTTGTCTGTTTTTTAAGGGAGTTTCTCAAAGAAGCTGCTAGAAAGGTCGGGGTTGAAGGAGCAGAAGAGTTTCTCGAGGATCCAAACAATGGATTGAAGGAGGTATATATATATATGTTTTTCTTCTGGAACTAACCTTTTATCCTATTACCCATTCACTCCATGACTGAAGTGATCTGTAAATGGCTCAAGGTTAATGAAGAACTGCAACAATATTCATCCAATATCAGTGGAGTCCCGTATTATGTGGTATGTTGTACAATTAGTCTAATGACATCATTTGGCACCTCGATACGTTAACGATCACGAGATTAGTGAAAATATATCTATATATATCTATCTGCAGATTAATGGGAAATCCAAGCTGAGTGGTGGCCAGCCTCCTGAGACCTTCCTGCAGGCCTTTCAAACAGCCTGAATTAGCTAAAGTTGTCTGAGAGGTTGTGTTGAGATCAAAGATGCAAGTTCTCTATGTTTGTCCACAACAAATTTCTGGCTTTTTTTCCTGTGAAATAAGCTGTCATTCTTATCAGCCATTAACTTGATGCCAATAAAGTTGATTGTGTATGTAATTAACAAGTTCTTGGCACAGTATTTTGTATCAGGATATTATGATTCTTAGATCTTTACTTCATGCCTTTTTAAATATGGAAAATGCTAATTTTACGAAACCCGATATCATTTCATATGACTTTTGAGTTGTGACACCCGTCATCACGCTTCATATTCACTAGTTATCTATGAACTGATTGATCTTATTGCGTATTAACCAAATGAAAATGTTGTGTGGTCTCAGTTAACTAGTTGAAAAAACCTATGATCAAATCAAAAAATATATTATTGTTGTTTAAGTTTTATGTTCAATGTTTGCTTTCATACATATTCAATATACAAGACACATTATTCAAATATTCACATTGACTTTATATAAACAATTTTCAGATATTTACAGCAACTTTACATAATCTCTCTTCTTTCTCTTTCATTTTCTGGGCTGCATCTTTAGCAGTTACTGGTTTCATCCATGACTTGAAATTCTTTCGAGTAAGATCATATCCTCTCGTCGAATGCCATCACCTACAAACACAAAATCGACAGGAATGTTAGCAGATTCCCCCGCTATGATTACTAGTTTTATTTGCCTTCAAAAACATACATGTGATGTATTAAATTAAATCAACAAATAAGAAAGATTACCTTGCCACAAACTGGACAAGTATCGCTTCTCTCCATCCACTCGTATATGCAACTTAGATGGTAATGATGAGAGCATTTCGTGATTATTCTTGGGTTGTCTTCATCATATTCTGGGTAGAAAAGATGCATAAACACGCGTGAGAACAAGCGTAGAAGAAATACGTGTAGATATTGCAGTACCCTCAAACGCAAATATGATCGTTTATGCTGTTATTAGAGTAAAGTTGGGTTTTGGCAATCATAATAGGACTACAAAGAATAATTGTCTAGTGGCACGAAGTGGCTCTCCCAATTGGGAGGTCATAGGTTCGAGCCTCAATGGGGGCATCATTGTGCTTCAGCTAGGCATGACCACGGTTCCGGTTCCGGTTCTTGAACCGGCGGTTCCAGTTCCGGAATTTCTTTTTTAAAAAAAAAAAAAAAAAGAAATTGTATGGTATGTGTATATTGTTTGTTGCATGTGGCGAGTAGGCCACTGGCCATTTTTTTTTTTTTAATTTTTTTTTATTTTAAATTTTACGGTTCCAAACCGGAACCGTCCGGTTCCAGTTCCTAATTTTCTATAACCGGAACCAGAACCTTAGAGTTTCGGTTTTGGAACCGGAACCGGAACCGTACGGACGGTTCAAGTTCGGTTAGCACAGTAACGGTTACGGTTCGAACCGAACCGTGGTCACCCCTAGCTTCAGCAGGTTGAGAAAGTAGTTATGAACAGATAGTGCATTGTAACAGATTCAGTAGTACTCGGGAAAAAACTGCAGAACTATACCTTCAAGGCATGTTGGGCAGACATCTTCATCATCCGAAGAAGGATAGATATGAGCAAATCCAGTTGTTGGCTCGGTTGTTGAGGGCTTCAGTGATGATCTAGAGTAGTCCTCCTCTTTTGATCCCTTTTTTTCACAAGACTCATCCCATTTGTTTCCTGTACTCGGAAACTCCACATCATCATCACTATCACTTCGTTGTAATGGCTCGGAGTCGGGCACGTGACTTGACCCCTTTTCCCTTCCCGAGACCAATTCATTCTGTTGTAAGTGGAAATATCTATGCCCAGCATCATAAGGCAACGGTCTCGGAGGAGAACAGTACATTTCAGACAGAGAGTTATCACGCGATGCAATAGAGCTCAAAGACGCTGTCGCTTGGGTGGACGAAGATATGGCATGGTGTTCTCCACTATGAAGAAGTGATGTATACTGCAGAAGTTCAATTTAGCTTTAGTTCTTTCCGTTGTGAATCCTATTTACTGCAGGAATATTCAAATAATCAAACGGAGAGAGCTAGTTAACCAAACTATACCACATGGAAGAAATTCTGGACAAAATACTGCAGGCAGAAACAATTCCTATAGATCGAGCTGTTAGGATCTGCAAAATCATCCAAGTTATCTCGCAAACAGCAACAAGAAGCACCCATGATACCGTCTGAAATCTACCACAATCCCCCTCGAAACACTTCCTTCCAGGATCATTCACAGTTCCTAGACGCCATAAGTTAAAAGCAACGCTTACACCTAACGGAACTCAGGGAAACTGAGAGAGGATCCTGAGCTCGCAGCATTCGTGGCTATGCGAACCAGCACCCTCTCTCCAATGGAAACTCTGACCACTCTTTCTTGAACAATAAATATGTAAGTAAAACTATGCTTTATAACCTGCAAAAGTAAAGAGCCCTGCGATCAGAGAAAGACAAGAATACAGATTACAGAACAAAGAGAGAGAATGTGGTAAAGTTGCCAATTCAAGAGTATACTCCAAATAAATCCAAGTAAATAATGAAACTTTTCTTTCAGGGCAAATCAAGCTGCAGAGGACCTATGATCATCATGAAAGCGTGAAACCCGAGGATAACTCAACCAAGTTGGTCAGACTATTGACTTGGTAAATGGTAACCACAAAGTGACAAGTTTGACCCCAGCGAGGGCGGCCTATTGGCCTTCTTTGTTTGAGTCGGTCAGCTATGTGCAACGCTAGCTAGGGTCACAATGCGGGATTTACACAATTCATATTCTCGGGTAGTTGCTGCCGATTTCCTCTCACCCAAAAAAGAGAGAGAGAGAGTGAAACCCCAGCCAAGAAATTTCTGAATCTCCCATGAATTAGGGCAAAATTTTCATTCATATTTCCTCTATTGGAAGCAAATGGTTTCTATATACAGCTACAACAAAATTGGGCATCATCAATCCTCAAACAAAGGCATACAATACAAAAATTTTCAGCAAAAACCTATATTATCTAGACAGATCATCAGAAGATAAAGTTTCAATCCCATGAATAAAAATCAAAGCAAGAAATAGCATACCATCTATCAAATTGACAAAACAAAATCCCAATGACAATATTTGACATTGATCAAATGCAGAAAAGAAAGCAATATACACCGCGGAAAATTTAAAAGCAAACAAAAATGGTACCCGGATTCATCAGAACGATGGATTCTGGCCCTATTTGAGGAACAACAGAAACCTAGAAAGCAAATGGTCGGATGTTTCTAGTACCAGATTGTGCTCCTGTGCTGGATATTTTGTCGACAAATTCCATTAATGCACCGGGAAAAAAAAAAACCATTTTCTGTTTTTACTCCGGTGGTTAAAATCAATGTAATTACAACTGAATTGTAAATTGATATGTGGGTATTGAATTTTGGGAATTTGTCAAGTGGCTTTTGAATCGGACTACAAATGTAATTAAATCACTAATAGCATGTTTGGTTAATGGAGTAGATTAAAATTGAATGAAATTCTTAAAAATATACATTTTCTTGTAGTGCTTTTTGTTCTTAAGAATATTGTTTATGTGAATGAGCTATTCCCATTATAAGGGAATAGTGATTTCATAAAATCTTGGTATTAAGTTATTCTCGAGTTCTTAGAAATAGTCTAAAATTGTTATGGAGTATTTTATAGAGATATGACTTATTCGTGCTTGATCGGATGTCCCCTGCTAGATGATTCGATTTGAATTGCCTATCATAGTCGTCGACTGATTCTTGATCACTCAGTCAGACGGTCACATAAGACTAGAAAGTTAGTTCACAATATAGGAAAATTAATCTCCGACCACCGATCCGCCGCATTAAGGGGGTGTTTGGTTAGATGTAATTTGGGTGTAATTGAATTACAATTCTGTGAAAGGTCCAATTACGCCGTTTGGTTGGAGGGAATTGCAATTCCCTCCAAATGCTGGATTGTAATTCATACCTCCCCCCTATGTATTGCAATTCGGTGTTTTGATGGGAGAAGAAAATATAGTGTGAAGACCATTTTACCCTCCAAAATTATTTTGTCTTATTAACTTTACTTCATTCTTTCCTTGTTTCTTCTTCCCCATTCGTCATTCTTTCCTTTCTTTTTTCTTTTCCCTTCCTTATTCTTTCGGCTGTTTCTTCCCCATTCTTTTTTCTTTCCTTTTTGTTTTCCTTTCGTCCTCTTCCTTATTCTTTCCCCTTTATTTTTTCTTTTCTTTCGTCCTCTTCCTTATTCTTTCACCTTTCTACGTATTATTATTATTATTATTATTATTATTATTATTATTATTATTATTATTATTACTACTACATAAGGGCATTTCAGTCATTGTATCACTTATTCCCTTTCAATTCCATGCCTAATTCCTGCATACCAAACACTGTAATTTGAATTCCTACTTTATTCACACCTGCATACCAAACAGTGTAATTCAAATTCCTACTTTATTTCCACCTTATTCTCTTCCCACCGAATTACAATTCTTTTCCACCATAATTCCTTCCTTCCAACCAAACACCCCGTAAGTACCCAATTACATAACTAGACAACTAGTCAGTAGTCACATCACGTCTTATTTTCCTTTATTTTCTTCAAGGTAATTGGCATTGCCACTCTGACAAATCCACAATCACCACGTGTAATACATGCCAGAGCCCCGACATGTGTCATTGAGCTCCTCTATATAATGTGCATGTATTACTACCTAGAGGGGGAGGACACGAAACTTGTTAATTAATATCCACTTAAGACTTGGATTTGATTTATCGAACAACTATAAATAAAGCTGCAAAACATATCGAGAAGGGTGGTTCTGGGATAGATATGATAGCCTATATCTTTCTAATTTTTGTGCATATTAATCGGGTAACTATGCCAGTACTAGGGTTTTGATTCGTAGATTGAGTATGACTCATTCAAAACCAAGATTGTCATTCAAGTTTAATATATGCAATAACCATAAATAAAAGTTAAGGACGCCCATTTTTTTATGTAAAGTTCTTACTTAAGAAATCAGTATTTATACATGATCAATTATATGTTTTTCTTTCAAATGTTAATAATCTACAATGTCTCAATTTTTTAATTTGTAATGATTTAGAACAAATATATACTCCAACCACTAATATAATTTATAAAAAGTTTTTAATAATCTGTAACATTCAATTCCTTTTATTTAAATATTAATAAATATTTTTATGTTTACTTATTACACATTCCAAATTTCTATTTTTAATGTATTATGATTTAAATTAAATTTTAATACGGAGTATGAAATTAAAATCGAAATCTCATTTGTTATAACTAACAAATAATACTATACTCATTTAATATAACTCTTATAATATATTACTAGTATTGTACATGTGCAATAAAATTTATACAGTGGTAAGTTAAGTAATTTTAACATTAACATGAAGAATATTTTGTAAAAGATATTGATTGTGGAAGTTTACATGTAAGGATAAAAAAAAAAAATTGTGATACTAAAAGAAAAAGTTGTTAGTTAGAAATAATGTATCCAAAATTAGTATAAAAATAGTGCATGTCAAAACTTAAAAAATGTATCGGAGAACTGGACATGTATTTTTCTACAAATACAGAAGATACTCATATTTGAGCTATGTACATGCTACATTTTATTTTATACATATATCGACCAAACCAAATCTAGTTTCTCACCTTTAACACTGTTTTCTTTTATCTTCTTGGAGGCCTTGGTTGAGGAGAATTCATTAAGCAAACATCTCTTCACGGGTCCAGAATCAGTGCCCTATAATGAAAACATAAGTATGCTTGTTAATTTCATATAATTTATATGCAAAATGAAAAATGGCGTTGTTGATGAACTTAAACGTGTTAGATGCATATACCTCTACGTCATGGTAGACAACTTCTATACTCTTTGTTTTTAGATCCATTTTCTTTCCATCACCGCATATGTACATATCACTCTTATCTTGATCGCGTTTATTGTTTTGAAGGTTGACAAATCACGTCCCAGAATATTCTGTGATGTTGTGGTTTTTAGTATCCCAAACTCAAATCGTGTCATCCTCTGATCCAGACACCAATACTGAAAGCTAAGCATGTAATGCCCTTACTGTTTCAATGACAAGGTCAAATCATTTAAAGTAAAATCACGAAAAGACAGCATAGGAAAGTCAAGTATCCATTCAGATAAGACTTTCCAAGAATTTAATAAAGAAAATGAAATACAGAGTTTACCATTCATAAATTTATAGAAAGCAAAGGCTTGTTAAGTTATTTGTGGTTTCAATGTCATGTGTCTGTTTGTTGATATTTCCAACCCAGTTTTGCTTTCGAACAGATTTTATTAATTAGTGAACTCTATACCTCAACAAATTACAAGTGAACTCTATCACCCAGCTTGAGTGCAGAATAATCCCTAATAATTCTTAAGTACTTTTTTGAACCAAAACTCTAGAATCAGGTCACATGCCACTGCAAACAAGAAACGAATATTATTCAAGACAAACTTCTAAAGCATGATTCATGAAACCAGAAGTAGATTAATTTATAATCAGTTAATTTTATCACTTATCTCATACAGTGAACATTGGGTAGAAACACAACTAACTAGGAATACAAGCAAAGAACTAGGAAGACTAAAGATGGACATATACACCAATCAACAGAAGTAAATAAATGATATAAGTGCATATAAACATAAGCTATAGTACATGTATACAACTCCAATATTTGGAGTGAAAATCAGAAACTTTTGCACATGTGGTTAATAAACTGAAGTATCATTATCAAACCATTGATATTCAAAATACAACCAAATATAGTATAAAAAAAATATGATGATGAAAGAAAGACAATACAAATTAGATGGCACATGAGTGTAAAGGTACATAGATACCTACACATATTCTTATATAACCTAGGACTACTTTAAAGGTTCAAGATAATATCACCAAAAATCTAGTTTGGACTATGGTATCACATAATAATAAATAAATAAATAAATAAATAAATAAGAAGAAGAATTATATGGCATTAGATTCATTGCGGGAAGAAACTGTAAAATTGCAAAAACCTAGATCTTATAAATTGAAGAATTGTATGGCATTATAAATCTATGATTTCCTGGCAAATCGAAAAAATTGATCCAAGATCTGATGCAGAAATGCTAAGGTAATTTTATTCTTTCAAGTTCCATATACCGATGCTGGATATGTCTGCATGAATGAAGTTTGATTTATCTGTGTATTGATGTTGGATTGAACCATTTTCTGTTTTTACTCCGGTGGTTGAAATCAATGTAATTACAACTGAATTGTAAATTGATAGGTGGGTATTGAATTTTGGGAAATTTGTCAAATGGCTCTTGAATCGGACTAAAAATGTAATTAAATCATTAATAGCATGTTTGGTTCACATAACTTCTTTAAAACATGCATAGTCTGGTAGTATTTTTTGCAATAGTTATACCGTACAACCGTGTACAACGGTTGTAAAACGAAATCGTTTTGATTAAAAACGCACGTCCCATTTTTAAAAAAAAAATAAATTTATTCATTGTGGATTTTTAGTTCATTCATTGTGGATATTTAGTTAATTCATTATGGATATTTAGTTCATTCATTCTGGATTTTTAGTTATTCATTCATTGTGGATATTTAGTTCATCCATTGTGGTTCTCCATTTTTCTATATTTTCATTTTGTTTGTTTATGCCATTTCAATAATTTATTGAGCAATATCAACTTTGTGTTTCTCTTATAATTTTTTGTTCTCAACATTAAGAACAATGTTTGAAATAAGTGTAGGAAAGAGATTTCTATTTTAAAATATTTGTCATTCTTTTAGCATATATATATATATATATATATATATATATATATATATATATATATATATATATATATATATATATATATATATTACTTTTAAAAATAATAAGTATGAATTTGAGCTTTTACCTAGTAAGCCTTTTGAATAGCCTATGATGAAAATATTGCATGTTTTTGTCAATTCTTAGTGTGTATATTGCATGTGGTTAGTTGTTAATTTCTTTATTTTTATATTTTGAATAACTTTGTAAAAAAAAAAAAAAAAAAAGTTTGAAAATCACAAATACCCTTATATGTTCTATGCATTTTCTTTGATAATTTATAAAGTGTTTTATACATTCTTTGAGTTGGCAC